ACAAAGGAGAGAATAGACCAGTCTAGTTACACTCAGATAGCAACCATATTACACAGAAATAATATGCTAAGTCACATGCTTCAATATACTTCATTTATGCTTGCTCTTATCAACTAAGACACTTTTATCTGTACTCAAATATCGCCTTTAATTAATTTCAAGTCATTTTGCAAGCAAATTGCAACAAAACGTCTCCCTACGAACTTATATATCAACACCAATAGCATTGGCATTTACAGAAAATAATCTTAAAGCAAATCCAGTGCCACAAGCCTGCATAACGAAGTCACATATTAGCAGGAGGACACCCATGTTTCAACATGCTATTAAGAAGGTAAAGATATTAAGGTTTTTTTTTTCAGTAAACGAGCCGACTTCAAAAATTCTAGAAAATGGTAAAAGAATCTACAATTGTTTGTTGAACAGCTCATAAACATACAAGATATGGTCAAACAACATCCTCATCCGAAGCTTTACCAATAGAAGAAGTGTTATGTCAAAACAATGGCATGACACTTATTTTTAGTCATCCTCGGAATGACAGTGCCAAGCACCTTAAAACAAAAATTCTCATTTCCACCTATTTACATTTGTTCCTCCCTCTGGCATTAATCAACCCATCAAACATCTAAGTAAACTAAGCATAGCTTGAATCAAGCTAGCATTTAGCTGACACAGATGCAAAACCACCCAGTTAGCCCAACTCAGTTCCATATTAATCAAGCTACATCGAACAGCTCACGTCCATAAACTACTATGACAAGGCACTAAAGAATACTTCGATACAAGTTTGTGACATGCAAGCTTTCAATGGATTCTCAAGTTCTAGGTCCGCTAAACATGTAGCAAATGAAAGATAACTTTTAATGTGTCTTGGAAGATACGAATTGTTAACCTAAAGCAAATTTTTCGGAGTGAAAATTAGAAATTTAAGATCGATAAAAAGAATAGAATAATTACATTACAACCATCATGCAGTAAGCCTGAAGTTCAAACTTCCAGATCTCACCTTCTAATGTCAGCAACATAAACGAGTGCTTGTCAATGGCATAGTTTTAGCTTGTAGGATAATGCAATGGTATCACAAACTAAGATCGATATGGTGCCCGAATCTGGAAGTCAAGGATTCAAACACGAATGGGATCTACTGTAGACTTTGGCAGAATTGAGGGAAGAGGATAAGCAATACCTCATTGAGTAGCCCAAAGAGAAACTTAGACAAATAAAACATCCATCTATCCATTCAATACCAATGTAGCCAACAACACTCTCATTAAGTCTAAGGTTAATGGATTACATTAGTGAAAAGTGTTGCAAAAGAAAATTTGCTCAAATGATTCTACATATCTTAATCTTCATTCAAGTTACTAATTTTCTTTTTAAATTCATTAATCTAATATGGGTCGATCTTAGAACAATAAAAACTAACCCATCAAAGCAATTCAATAAAGATAAAAAGGCAACATCAAATAAACCAGAAGAAACAAAATTTCAAAACTTTTTACCTTTTTGTTGTTTTAAAGCAATGAAAAAAATCCAATCAAGTCATCAAAATTCATAAATATGGATAAAGAGAAAAAAAAAGTACCTCAAAGATGAATCTATCGAGAAAGAAACGAACAGAGGGGAAAACAGAGCAAAGAGAGGAAGGACAATGAAATCTCCATAAGCAGGGTAAGCTTCTTGCTCCCAACCGATTGATTTGATAAACTGAATCGAACCCATTTTTTGAATATCGATCTTTGATCCAAAAATTTTCTCAGGAAACAATCAGGAAAAAAAAATGAACACGACAAAGGGCGTGAACTGTGGATCACATGCACACTGAGTTGCAACAATGTCCTCGTCTTCTCTGTTTCTATCTTTTAATTTTACTTTATTTATGATTTAACTTTTCTTCCAGTCCCTCTGCTCTTTTGACTTTTAAAATTTAGGGTAAAGTACATTAAAGATCATTAAATTATGCACAAATGATTGTTTTGATCACTAAATGTTTATAAATTATTAAAAATGTTTATAAATTATTAAAAATATTTATAATATTTTATTAACAAAATTCCATTAAATATGAATATATGATGTTTCAATATCCACATTTCTAATTTAAAAATTAACTCAAGAAAGGATAACACATAATCAAATTTAATAGAAATTCTCATAAGGTTTAATGATATGGAACACACATATATTTATAAGTTAAGTAAGGATTATTAATGAAATTCGAACTTTTATTCTAAATTAGTTATCTTCATATCATTTGTGTTATGTCATATTCAATTATTTATCTTGTAAATCATATAGAATTAATCCATGATGATATCTCTTGTAAATCATATACGGCTTCTATCTAGATTTATTCTAAATTAGTTATCTTCATATCATTTGTGTTATGTCATATTCAATTATTTTTAATGATTAGTTTTTATTTACAGTGTTTCAAATATATTGTTTTTGCAATTATAATCAGTACAATAGTCATAATACATTTCATAAAAAAATAACAAAAACCAATTCATAATATTATTAATTGAACTTTGATTTTATAAATCAAACATGTAAAAAGGCAAAACTCTTAGAGTTAAAAATAGATAGACAAAATTTAAAAAATATGGAAAGTACATGGACTGAGGGTAGAATTAGACCTTTATTTATTTATTTAAACTACTGGAAGTATGCTTTCCTAAAAGCCAGGAGGTTGGGGGGTAAAAATGAATGGGGAAGAATAAATTTATTAGATTCAGTATTACTGACCCTTGGTTTTTGTTAGATTATCTAAATTGCCATTCATTTTTGGGTTCACCATATTGCCCTTACGTTGAAATTGTAGTAGACCCGGTCTGGTTCACTTGCTTTGTTCTCAATCGTGAATTTAAGTTCAATTCATGGTTGATTATTCAGCTCAGTTAGTAGAGCACAATGTTCTTAACTTTGAGGTTGTGGGATTGAGTCTCACGGAGGACATTTCATAATTCGGAGGTATTCTACGGAAGTTGCTCTCAACCTGGTATTGGGGGCAGCCTACTATCTTAACTCCCCTTATCCCATTACATATGAGAACAAGGGACAACCATTGTTTTTTCATGGGTGATTAATGAATTTAATTAACAATTATCTTTTTTAATAATTTCTATCTAGAAAGGACAAAGATAAATTTTATTGTTAATGGATATTATACTCAAGGAGAAAGGAGATAATTTATATTATAGTACTAGATGTGTATGATAATCATTGAAAGGGATAATTTATATGTTAGATTATTGGATTTAATTTCAATTTTCATTTTGATCACAAAATTTTAATTTAATTATATTATTTGATTTTTATATTGATAAATTAAGTCGTTTATACTAATATCTTTAAATAACTATAATGAACAAACTCAAATTAATACATAAAAAGATTTTAAACCCTAAAACTATAACCCTTATTTTTAAATTGCATCACACGTCTTTGAACTATACTTTTTATTTTAAATTGATTTCTAAAATTTTGAATGTTCCAATTTTATTCATAATTTATTATCCTTATTTTAAATTATTTCTTGAACTTGTGAACATTTTAAATCCATCCTAAATTATCATATATACTAACCACATAATTTGTTAATGAAATTGTTATGCCAAACTATATTATTACATGTTAGAAAGAAAACTTAGGTTAAGCTATGATTGAAATTAAATACATAATTAGATGATTTTGAGGATGAAATTCAAAGATTCAAACATTTGGGAGTTGATCAGAATGAGGGTTACATTTTGAAGATGAAATTGGAATATTTAAAAGTTTGATTACTAATTTAAAATGAGATTAGTTTGGTGATGAATTTGGAATAGAGAAAATAATCTCAGTGACCGAAAATGCCTTATAATATACGATTTTGACCAACTTTTTTTCGATTTGCCAAAACGACCAATAAAATCGCAATGCGATCTCTAAATCGCAAATCAATTTCCAGAATCGTAAATCAGTTTCCAGATTCGCAACGTGATTTTGACTATCGCATTGCGGTTTTAGAAAATCGCAATGCGAATATGTAAATCGCAACGCGATTCTGACTATCGCAATGCGATCTCCAGTATCGCAAATCAGTTTCCAGATTCTCAACGAGATAATACAGAATCATGTTGTTGCGATTTTAGAAAATCGCAATGCGAATATGTAAATCGCAACTCGATAATACATAATCGTATCGCAATGCGATTTCTTAAGAATTTTCTCTAAAAATATAGTATCCGCTCGGACGTGTCGAAGACACGTATTACCACGACCACGACCACGACCACGACCCGAGACGGGTCGGCAGCGACGGCGGTGCGCGAGAGTCCCCCTTGTTCTCTTCCACTCAACAAGGAAGTGAGAAATTCAAGCCTTAAATACCCATTCTCAATAGTGTTTCCAATACTATGTGGGATTGAGCATTGCAAACACTTGGGAATCTTTTACACTGTCGTAACACATTCTTTATTGTTTCAAACTAAGATCTTACAAATGGCTTGGGAATCTTTTACACTATCGCAACACATTCTTTATTGTTTCAAACTCCACGTGAATTTGGAATAGTTAAAATGTAAACTTATTTTGGATTATTCACTATCGCAACAACACGTTTTTCAAACTCTCGCAACACATTTTTCAAAATCGCGTTGCGAATTTGGAAACTAAGTTGAAAAATTAGAGTTCTCGTTGAGAATTTAAGATCGCGTTGCGATTTTGTTGGTCATTTTGGCAAATCCAAAAAAAAGTTGGTTAAAATCGTATATTATAAAGCATTTTCGGTCACTGAGGTTATTTTCTCTTTGGAATATTAAAAAAAATTAAAGACTAATCTAAAACAAGAATTATAATTTAGGGACGTGTGATATTGCTTAACTATAATAAAAATCAAAATGGTAATCTATATAAATACTAAGGAGTAACTTTATCATTATACCTAAAATGAAAAAAAAAACAAAAAATACCATGAGTAGAAGGATATCTTTGAAATAAAGTAAAATGAGGGAATGCAAGATTCGTCTCTCACATTAAGTAATAACAACAATGGGAACTTTTCAAGAGTCAAAATTACAACGATCCATTCACATGTTTGAATAAGCATTCAATTCAAACATATATTTAGAATTTATATCCATTTATTACCATAACTTATACCCAAGGAAGAAAATTGTAGACAAAGCTGATCAATTGCAGTTGCAGAGTTTAAATATTTGCAGACAAAATGGGACCTTCCCCATTAAAAGGCCCACCACCCCCATTGCCACCACTAGCAGCTTAAGGGCACATGGTCTTTCACTGAATAAGAATTCGATTTGAATAAAAATATTTTAAATTAATTAATTTAATGAGTTTTATTTTATAATGTAATTTTTCTTCACCCGATTCTAACCGCCATTAGCAACCACGTAATTTCCAAACAAAAACGACCCACCATCCTCCTCGTTAGCCATACGTGTTCATTTATTCACCAATGCTTTCACGTGCATTATCATCTCCAACTTCCGAACCCCAACAACATGCAAATACTCCATCTGGGACAAGGACCTCGAGTCTCGAGGCTTCGTCCTACGCCGCACCATCTCCAACCTCAACCTCAACCTCAACCTCGACCACCTCCACTCTGTCTTCGTAGCCGTCGGATTCCCCAGGCGTGATCCAGAGAAGGCTAAGCCGGCACTGGAACATACCCAATCCATGCTGTGGGTCGAACACAAGAAGAGCCAGAAACCGGTGGCCTTCGCTAGAGCTACGGGAGACGGCGTCTTCAATGCTATAATATGGGACGTGGTGGAACGGTTGATCGAGGAACTGTTGGAGAAAGGTATTGGTAATTTTGCTTTGTACTCGGAGCCGAAGGTGTTGGGGTTTTATAGGCCTCTTGGGTTCGTTGCTGATTCTGATGGAATTAGAGGCATGGTGTACTCTAGAAAGCAAAACCAGAAGAAACAAACTGTTGGTTCTTCTTCTGATTCAATGTTTGCAATTTTATTTACAGAATCATGTTCAACTTCAATACATTGCAGACTTTTGTAGGTACACTGTCATCGAATTAAGTGATGCATTGTGTGTTGTTAGCGCACATTCTCTTCCATTCCATTCAATCTCGTGATATTCTCGTCCGAAATTTCTTTTAAGATTATATTCTTGTATCATTTTTCACGAGATCATTACACCTTCACGTTACTTGTATATTAATCCAACTCGATCCCATCATGTCGTGAGAATATATATTGGAATCGAGTATCGGCCTATAAATGCATTATTTGTTTTGACTGTGTCAAAAAATATACATATTTCAGGCATTTTTTACAAGACCAACGCTTTCACAATGTTTCTTCGTGGCCTCAGCTTGCACCATTACCGTTTACCAGTACAAATAAATCTTCTTCTCAAGAGAATCAGCAAAGAATCTGGAAACCAGATTGGTTTAAAGTTGGCATTAATCAAGAGAGAATGAACTGAATGATCTGTTAATGCATTGCATCGAAGCATCTCCGAATGTTAGTTGAACAAAGCGGACTGAAAAATCAACTTTCGCGCATCATATGCTGAATGAGGGCCGTCGTAATCGTTTAGGCAAGATCGAGTTAGTCAAGCTTTGCATTTGCTTTCTCGTCGGTGTGGGTGTGAACTTGATATCCTTATTGTCTACTATGTCTACTACAACAGCATCAGATGTTAGAAAAACCTTGGCAACCGATGCTGCATGCTCCAGACAACATCGAACTACCTACTCCAACAAAAGTGTCGGATCAATAGGTGCATTCTACGGTATACATTAATCTAGAGGCTCAATTTTATTACTGATACCTTTGTAGGATCCATTATTCCAGCTTCCATCAAATCCTCGTAAGAGTTTCTTGCGGCATTGTACCCGTATCGGGTATCATCATTCGATAAGACCTACAAGATGAAACAAGTGAAAGTACAAAGTGGCTGAACCTCCAAATGCATAATGATGCAATGATACGATGGAACTCAGAGACCGACCTTCTCTACAACAACACTCCCGTTAACACCAGCATTTTTGGCAATTAGTTTCGCCGGATAGCTTAATGCTCTCTTGAATATCTCAGCTCCAATCTGCTCGCATTTGCATACAAAAGCTCGTAAATTTTCGTTGGTTGGCAGTAGAGACTGAGAGAAACGGTGAGATATATATGTTGTATCCTTGATTACCTTTTGCTCTTGATTATCTAACAGGTTTTTTATGCCGTCCACCTTTTCAGAGAGCCGCAAGAGGATACAACCACCTCCGACTACGACACCTTCCTCGATTGCTGCCTACATAATATAAAGTCAGAAGCTTGATTTTCATTATTCGAAAATCATCCCTGGATTTGTAAATCACTACCTTGGTTGCATTTAAAGCATCTTCCATTCGAAGTTGTTTGTCCTTCAATTCAACTTGTGTTTGTGCTCCAACCTATCATATAATTGATGAAATTAGGTAGATTACTTCATATGCAGGTCTTCGGACATTTCTAAAACACTGAGCTACCTGAAGAATTGCAATTCCTCCTGATAATCTGGCAATTCTTTCATTGAGTATCTCCTTTTGAAAATTCTCCTCTGTGTTCTGCAAATTAAGAGTTCGGAGGTTCACGTTCAAATCCGCCCATCTTCACCTGTGTAGTGTGTTATGTCACTTCTAATTATACGTACCTCAACCAGATTTTGTATCTGAGAAACTCTTTTCCGAACTGCTTCTCGTGTGCTACCATCGCTAACTATGTAGGTAGAATCCTTAGTAATCACGACCTTTGTCGCTGTACCTAGAACCTCTTTCCCCACACTATCAAGAGTTAAACCCATATCATCTCTGACCACCGTGCCTGAAATGAAGGCGAACTCGATAATATCATGTTTTCAATTGCTTTCTTCTAGCTGAAGGAACTGATACATAGACATTCCTATGGTAAGATGGCACGGAAATAAGTACGTTACCTCCGGTCAAGATAGCGATATCGTCCAAGCAGTGGCTCTTGCGCTCACCGAAGGCCGGGGCCTTAATAGCAGCTGCCTTCAGCACACCCTTGAGTTTGTTCCTAATCACTGGAGCAAGAGCTTCCTTCTCGATCTCCTCGGCAACGATCACGATCGGGTACTTCTCTTTAACAGCACTGTCCAATATTTTGAACATCTCCTTTGGATTTGTGATTTTCTTGTCAACCAATAGTAACTGCAAGCAAAGAATTACATACCCTCTAATCACTTTATAGGAACACGTGCCGAGTTTTCTTTAAGAACCTAATGTTTATACCTTGCAATTGTGGAACTCGATGATCATATTTTCTCGATCGGTGACGAAGTAGGGAGACAAATACCCTCGATCGAACTGCATTCCTTCCACCATCTCTAGACTGGTTTCAGTACATTTTCCTTTTTCGATTTTGACTACACCCTTCCTTCCAACTAGTTGAAGAGCATCCGAGATCATCTTTCCTACCGCGTAATCGTTTCCGGCACTAACAGCAGCAACATGTGCAAGTTCATGATCCTCAACCTGCAAGTCCAACATAAGCTCGAATATTAAACTTTGCACGTTTATGAAAATATCATAATTTATAGAGCTATGCACCTCTCTGGACATCATTTTGAGTTCAGAAACAAGGGCGTTCGCGGTCTTCTCGATCCCGCGAGCAATTTGAACCGGATTCAATCCAGCTGAAACTACCTGGAAGACATAAAATTATTGCATTTGTATGCACCTTTCATAAAGAATCCCCCATGTTTCTGATTCTTACCTTCACACCTTCTGTAATTAAACCATGAGCAAGAATTATAGAGGTAGTGCAACCATCACCAGCAAGGTCATTTGTTTTTGCACCAGCTTGCCTCACTAATTTAACCCCAACATTCTCCAATGGATCCTCCAGCTCAATCTAAACTAATTTACTTACAAATTTCAGTAAGAAAGTACCAAACTTTGAATTACATTAGACCATATGGAAGCTCAAATTACCTGTTTGAGAACAGTTTCTCCATCATTAACAATCTTGGGGGGTCCATACTTGTTCTGAAGCACAACATTTCTCCCCTTTGGACCTAATGTAAGCCCAATCAGTTCTGCCACTTTATCCACACCAGCCTGCACCATACCAGCACAAAGAAAGAAGAACTAAAACACCATCTGGGTTTAAGCTTAAATATGTTTTTGGGATTTTTTTCAACTAACCTGAAGCTTCTTAGTGGCAGAGCCATCACGGTTGAAGTAAATTTCTTTGGCCATGGCTCTGGGCTTTTTCAAGGTGGAATAATGTGAAGAAGATGACCTTCTGGATTTGGACAATGTTGGGTTAGTGAAAGATATCCCAGGAAGTGGAGATGGTGAACATGCCATGATTGAGTTTCTGGCGAGGTATTTTCCGTGTAAAAAGAAACTGATATTCATGTATACATATATGGATGAAAGGGGAAAAAGAAGATAACAAGAAAATATCTTGGCAGTTGTTTTTGGCGCTATTCCATTTCCGTGGCTAGAACATTTTCATGGGCTATATGTGGACTGGTTCGAGTCGGGCCTTAAGACCAATTAATCTCAGACTTGCCTGTTGTAAAAATATTGAGGGATTTGTAGATATTCAAAGAAGATAATTATAATAAATATATATCAAATTCCTAAAATGAAGAGATTCTTGAGATTATATAGGGAAAGGTAGATTAATATAAAGCTAAAAAATAACACAATCGGAAATCTAAAAAGAATTTTAACGAAATCGGTTTAGCGCGACTGGAAATATTGACTTATATCTAATATATTAATTACAATGACGTAACCGATAAACATATCTGATTGATAAGCATCGAAATGTTTTCACAAGTATAAATAATTTTGAATTAAAAAAAATATATGAAAAATGAGGTTACAAAGTATTAATATTTTTCTACAAATATCGATAGTTTCAAATTTTAAAAACACATGAAAAATGAAAATGTTTCAAAGTTTCAATATTTTTCCATAAAAATCAATACTTTCGAATTAAAAATAAAAACATAGAAAATGAGAAGGCTGCAAAGTATCAATTTTTTTTAAATAAATATTGATAATACGATATGATGGTCAATACTTTAACATTTGATGAATGATAAAATATCGATATTTTTTCTATCATGTTTGATAATTTAACATTTGAGAAAGTTGATTGAAATTAAAATATCTATACTTTTTTATTTGAAAAATTTGTTCAAGTTAATATCGAAAGTTACTTATTTAAAAATTTTCATTAAAATATCGTTATAAAAATATCGATAGTGTAATAATAATTACAACTTAATTGGTTAAGATAAAATAGGTGCAACCTATTACGTTAAACTAGTTAGCGGATTGTTTAAAGGTATAATAATAATGTAAACGGTAAAATATTTACAACTTAACTAGTTAAAATAAAATAAGTACAACCTATTACGTTACCCCAACTACCGATTTGTTTAAAGATATAATAATAATATAAATGATAAAATAAAATAGGTGCAACCTATTACGTAAACTAGCTACTGGTTTGTTTAAAGGTAAAATAATAATGTAAACAGTAAAATAAAATAGGCGTTACCTATTACGTTAAACTAGCTATCGATTTGTTCAAAATTATAATAATGAAGTAAACGGTAAAATATTTACAACTTAACCGGTTAAAATAAAATAAGCGCAACCTATTACGTTAAACTAGCTATCGGTTTGTTTAAAGATATAATAATAATGTAATCGGTTTAAAATAAAATAGACGCTACCTATTACGTTAAACTTACTACATGTTTGTTTAAAAGTATAATAATAATGTAAACAATAAATTAAAATAGGTGCTACATATTATGTTAAACTGGCTACCGGTTTGTTTAAATGTATAATAATAATGTAAACATTAAAATATTTACAACTTAACCGGTTAAAATAAAAGAGGAGCAACCTACTACGTTAAACTAGCTACTAGTTTGTTTAAAGATATAATAATAATGTAAACGATAAAATAAAATATACGCAACTTATTATGTTAAACTAGGTACCAGTTTGTTTAAGTGTATAATAATAATGAAAATAGTAAAATAAAATATGAACAACCTATTACGTTAAACTAACTACCGGTTTATTTGAAGGTAAAATAATAATGTAAATGGTAAAATAAAATAGGGCCTACCTATTACGTTAAACTAGCTACCGATTTGTTTAATGGTATAATAATAATGTAAGCAATAAAATATTTACAACTTAACCGGTTAAAATAAAATAGGTGCTACCTATTACGTTAAACTACCTACCGGTTTGTTTACATGTATAATATTAATGTAAATGATAAAATATTTACAACTTAATTGATTAAAATAAGATAAACACTACCTATTACGTTAAACTACCTACCGGTTTGTTTAAAGGTATAATAGTAATGTAAACGGTAAAATATTTACAACTTAATCGTTTGAAATATTTTTTTAAAATTCAAAAGTATGAATACTTGTAGATTGATATGGGGGAGTTCATCAACTTTTTCAAAAATATCAACACATCATATATCAATTATCGATATTTTAACATTCATAAACTTTTTCAAATAATAAAGTCTCGATAACAGTCATAAAAAATCTAAAATTCTAAAGTATCGATACTGAGTATTAATAATTTTCCTGAATATGTATCGATACACATACACTAAGTATTGATATTAATAATTTCCATACATCTACACTAAGTATCAATACGGAGTATAAGAGTTTCGCTACATCTACACTAAGTATCGATATTTTTAAAAATATATTTTAATGGAATTTTGTAAATAAAAAACTTTTGATCTTAATATTTCAATTTTTTTCTTCATATTAACAAGTTTCTAAAATGCTAAAATATCGAACATCATAGAAAACAATATCAATATTTGCTAAAGTATCGACCATCAAATCATAGTAGTATCAATATTTATTTTAAAAAAAATTTTCCATCCAAAGATACATAATATATTATATCGCTACCAATTTTATTAAACACAACTTTAATATTCCAGATCACAACCTACTTCTTTATTCACAATAATATTATTAAGTGCAACCTAGTATGTTAATATTTATTTAAACAAAATAAGTATTTAACCTATTTTGTTGTCATGAGATTTCGAATGCCCATCAACTTAAACTTTGGTAACATATTATACGCAACCTAATTTGTTGATAATATTTATAAAAAAAATAAGTAATTAACATATTTTGTTATCATGTGATTTCTAAGCCTCATCAACTTAAATTTTAGTAACATTTTAGGTGTTACCTAATATGTTGATAATATTAATAAAAAATAAGTAATTAACCTATTTTGTTATCGTCAGATTTCTAAAGTTACATTAGCTTAAACTTTGATAACATTTTAGGCGCTACCTAATATGTTGATAATATTAATGTAAGGTATGGCTCATAAATATACCGGTAAAGGTACGGTACAAGGTTAATTTTATAATTATGTACCAGGGTTTTCTATTATAAATAGAGATGTAACCTAAACCTATTATCATTGAATAAAAATTTTCTAGCGTCGCCTAGGCACCGAGGACGTAAGCACATTGCCGAACCTCGTTAAAATTCTTGTGTTCTTTTGTTTACTTTGCCCGATTTATCAACAATTAATAACAAAATAAGTAATTAACATATTTTGTTATTGTTAGGATTGTTTAAGCTCAATTTGAATAATCGAAAAATTGTACAAGAGGGGTGAATAAACAAAAATTGTTTAGGGAGTAAGGAGAAGAAAAGATAGACAATTTTGTACAACGATTTATAGTGGTTCGACTTCTCAACTAAGTTTACATCCACTACCTAAGCTCTTCACTTAGGATTTTCCAACAAATTCAATACCTAACTTTTTAAAGGCTCAGCTAGAACCAAAACTCCTTTTCAAAATGATAAAAGAAGTAAACAATAAAACTCGTACAAGGTAAAGTGTTTACAAAATAAAACTCACAAAAACACAAATATGCACAAGAAAATATAAATAAAGAGTGAAAAGTCATTCTATTGTGTTTGATTGCTTGAATAGGTGTTCTAACCCTTCTTCAAGTGCCCTGAACTTGTATTTATAAGTTGGAATGAGGTTGTGGCCGTTGGGAGTGATTTAGAGCTGTTGATGATATTTTCTCTGCAAAATAAAACTACCCAGTACAGAGGGTATTAGTACTCCTATAGGGAGTATCGGTATTATCTTTGTTATTTTTAAATAAAATTAGCAGTTTCTAGTTGTTGGGTCTGACGGTGTAGATACTAAGCCTATGATATTGATACTACTATGTAGAGTAGTACCGGTACCCTTTTAGGTATCGATACCTATTTTGTATTCTGGAATTTGAGCAATGCTGATAGTATTAGTACCATCTAGGGAGTATCGATACTTCTCTTACATAGGGTATCGGTACCACATGAACAATATCGTTACTATTCATATAATATCAATACTGTAAGAACAATATCGGTACTACTTACGTGAAAACTAGTTTTGTGCTCAAATTCACTTTAAATGGACTTTGAATTATTTTTGAAAACTTTCATAGCTTTGAATAAATTAAATTCAAGTCCAAAAACATTTTGTCTTAATTTGTTATATCAAAAATATTATAAAACTTAGTTTAACAGTTATCGTTAGATTTCTAAGGTCTCCTCAGCTTAAACTTTGGTAACATTTTAAGTCATATCTAATATGTTGATAATATTAAAAACAAAATAACTAATTAACATATTTTATTATCGTCAAATTTATAATGACCAATTAGATTAACTCTCATAATATATTATGCACTACTTAAATTTTGATAATATTAATAAAAAAAAATTAGTAATTTACTTATCTTCTTACCGTTTATTTTAAGTGTAACCTGTTATGTTATTACGGTTGATAATATTTCCAATAACTAACCTAAATTATTAAAGTCAATATTTTTTTGACTCATTTTACATACGAGGATAGTATTTCTAGTTACCCAATCACCTGTTTAACCAGTGACGTAATTTTTTAGTCGTATTTTAACAGCATATCACAGTAGAACCTCCCGAGATTCTTAAACAACAATACTGTTTGACTATATTCAGCAATACTTGTCTGTCCCTTTAAAGGACAGGCAAAACATGCAGGTTTTGTGGATAAAGCTTGCTATTTATGCAGTGGGCTCACTGTTCAACCAGCACCTGAACCGCAGGTTGTGCTTTGGTTCCTCTTTTGGTGAAAACAATGTAAGCTTGGGGCTGAAACCCCAAACTGATGCCCTAACAAAAAAGCTGAAAGTAGTACTTTAGGTCATGTTTTAGTGGATAGCCTTTTTACAGTACGTTTTGCTTAGTTAAAGCAACTGTTTTCAATGATGAAGCCACTAGCAACACCATTTTCCACCACCATTTGTCCTCTTACCTGCCCCTGTTGTTATGAACAGCAATGGAGAATTGGACTGGCTATGGGGCCACCACTCTGATCCACTCTAGGATCAGTAACATTGGTTAAATAAAATCCATGTTGCAGGTCAAAGTTCTTTACACAATCCATATATTTAATATTCTTAGGTGAAATGATTATTAGATAAAACTCATGATTGAGTGTTTGATTTGTTTCTGAGAATGGGTTACTGCTGATTCAAATTTTGTTTTTATTGTATTTTGCTTCGGATTAGTGTTTATGCGGCGAGAAGAGCTGCAGAGGAGTTGTATGAAAATATGATCAGAAGATGTTATTGCATGGTTTTATTATAATCCCATACAAGCGCAAATGCTTGATTAAACACCATAGCAAACTGAGGAACATTAACATATATTATATATACGTGTGTATATGGGAAGATGACTCTTATCTCAATGAAGCAAGTCAACGGAGTTGTCAATGGATTGATTTGTGGACTCAGCTTTCAAGTGAGAAGTGTTGCAGGGGATCTCTTCCAGCTCTCAGAATGCAAGGGAATAAGGGCTGTCGATTTTTATGTCAAACAACATTTGGCGGAGATCGGAAGCTTCTTCCTTGAGCCTTGCATTCTCTTGAACGACACGGTCGTGGAACTCCGATACGTGGTTTAACTTGTCTATGAGACTGTGGTTCTCGTTGCGGAGCCTGGTTACCTGTGACCAAAGTTCATCCAGGTGCTTCTGTTTACGCATCCTCGACCGACGAGCGGACTCTCTGTTGGATATCATTCTTCGCTGCCTCCTTTCGTGGATGACGTTGACCTGGTGCTCCTCTGCTTCATCTGAAGTTGAATTATTGCTGATACTTGAGGACAGTGTGGCAAATTCAAGAGCAGACGGCGAGATGTGGGAATTCGGTAGGCTGTTTAAGAATGTATTGAAATGAAAAGTTGGTATAGAGTTTTGCATCATATCAAGGTTGGCAGGAATCAGGATCGGGTTTTCCCGTGATAGGTAGTGAAGTTCTCTTAGCTCACTTGGAACCATGGTTTTAAGTCGTGGAAGTCGAGGCCTGAAGCCGAAGGGTTAGATATGTTGTAGTGATTGATTGTTGATGAGTTTGAAGGTAGGGGAGAAAGGCACAAATGAAGAGCTTTTATAGGAGGAAAATTGTTTCTAAGGTGGGCCAGTTTCAGCAAGTGTAACAGTATATATGTATGTAACCACTTGCTCTATATCACATATGTTATTTCTAAAGACAACAATGATATAGCGACATGTATGTGTGCATGTATTTATGTATGCATGCATGCATGAGTATCATGTATGTCATAGAAATTTCAGATTTGGATAATCATATAGCATCTGATATAATGCTTAGAAAACAGGAAACTTGCTGAAGTCAAGATCCCAGGAGAAATTTTCATACTCCAAAACTCCAATAGGGGAATAAAGCATTTGTGCCTTATGACGCAATCAACTCTGGTTTAAAAGGTAAACCATTAAACAAATCATAGTTTCTTATGACTAATTTTATTATAAATCAGATGACTCATGTAAGCACTTCAATTTAAAGATATAGTTTAACATCGTGACCTAATATCCCAGCACTCTCATCCTCTTCCATTGAACTGAACTGTAATAAAAAAACCCCCAAAATTCCTTACGTTATCATCCATGCTAATTGTTTAATACTTGAGCCGAATTTCTTTCTATCTGATAAGTTATGTATCGAAAAAGTCGAAGACGTCAACTCAACAACAACCAATCTACATGTGGGAATAGTCCATTTCCTGTTAACAGGTTATCTGGTTTGTTATTCTTCCATGACATATCATCAATTGGCACGATCACCATGTAAGTACCTAAAGTAGCTTCTGAAGTATCTTTCTCAATACATGAGCACTGAGTTGTTTGTTGAGGCCCACTTTTAAACATGATAAGAATGAGATTAGTTAAAAAACATGATAAGAATGAGATTAGTTAAAAAAATGTTGGCAAATCACAGAAGTAGCATCTCAGAAACGCATGTTTTTTCTGGTATTTGTTAATGGGAGTACAATATTCTAACCACATGTAATTCGTTTCCGTGTTTCGTAACACTACATATAGTTTAGGCGACTCTCCACTAATAAAACTACTCTTGGCTGCAAAAGAAGTGAACATGTTTCAAATGCAAGGCATCCAAAGTAGGTTAGGTAAGATTATTGGACATCATGTGGAAATGCTCTGCATATTTGCCTTAATACTCCTCATGCATGCCTCGTTTTCCTCCAGCCTTGTTTTATGCATACATGCATCACATGTAAGAAAATGAAGAATCAGAGACAAACTTTTTGAGCGACACCTGAAAAACCAAAACTGACAAAAGGAGTTGGACCAGACATGATTGACTGATTGGTCATCATTCCTACAACTTGATGGCCTGTGGGTACCATTGCATATGCTATTTGTGGAATGTGAATGGTCAAGTGAGCTGTTCATTCATGATTTCAGGTGCAGAATACGAGCAACTGATATATACGACAATGATGATTTCGACTACACTATATGACCCAAGATGAATTTTTCCATGTTCACCTATAGCAGTTAGTACTAATGTCAATGAGATTTGTTAACCTTTTGGATCACAACTTGCATCAAATGCATACACCATGTACAAGACTAATCCTATGTATTATCTGAAATTGGACTTTCTTTATTCAATAAAGGAGTATTCCTTGGTTTCATTAATCATTGGAAAAATTGGGAGCTGAGCTAAAAAAAGTTTGAAACTAAAAGAACAAAAAACAATGGCTTACAGAGACATGCCTTTTTCTTTATCCTCATTCATGCCTACCCTAATATGTTGCTATAGCTTGTGTGAGGAGAAGGGGCACCACAAACCGGAACAAGTTCTACGTACGGTGGGGGGCTAGATTTAACACCTAATCCATTTCGTGCCCAAACACCATCCAGGAGGGGGTAAACTTTTTTCTAGTGGGTCCTTTTTAGTAGTGACCATGTATGCCTGGTGCACCATTTCTGCACCTTATTGCCCAGCCCATCAACTCAAGTATACTCAACCATGCACACTTGTGCCTATATGTCCATAAAACAACATGTTTGTATCCAGATTCATGGAGAAAACTAGGGTTAACTCCATGTTAAGAACAAGAAATTTCGTGACCACGCAGTCTACCATATCAGCAAAGGCTTTTCAAACCTTTTTTTAGGCTTCTCCATAAAAGAAATGCCAAGTATATTGGTACTCTCACCTGTACCAAATATGCACTTTCTCCACTTCCCCCCCCCCCCAAAAAAAAAAAAAAAGACTTGAACTACCCCTACTTTTTATTCTATTTTCTCTTTCTTCCTTCCATGAGGTCATAAGATCAGTGCGGTGATTGGTTCAAATAGGACAAGCTCATCACCATGTTCCCTCTTCTTCTAAAGATGAATTAAAACACAAGTTGCAGTTTTTTTTATTCATTTACTGCTAAATCTTAGGTTTGTTTTGTTTAAAGATACTAATGGTGCACAATGAAATTACAATATTACTAAACTATATAGCATACTTGTTTGTAGGCACTGACGTAACGTTTATTAAGGTCTTAATCCACTAAACTAAAGTCATTATGCTTTTGGATTTTGGGTTTAATAATGCTATTGATCAGATCTGATCGCTCCAAGGGTTTCCTGCAGGAGTCATTCATCATTCATTGAAATGTTGTGTCCCCATCATATTGTGTTTCATAGTACAATACCGTAAAGTCTCCCGTTACTGTCCGCAGAACTTGACACCAGAAGACGTGCCAGAACGATCAATCGATATCTACCAGAAACCAGAATATTCATTAAATCCGATGGCAAGGCCTAAAGTTCTTTCTGGTATGTGATAGCCATAGGAAGCTTCCTCGGTGATCTCATATACCATATTACCGAAAACGAATCAGCATTAAGAGCTTGATATGCTCAACCTTGTTAAAATATATTTCATATAGGAATGATTGATGGGATTCTCCAAGTACTCTGAGCCACAAGCTTTTCATTTAGCCCCACGCATAACCATACACTAATGACATATGCAAAGGCAATATGCGATATGCTTTACTTATACCATCATCATCACCTTTGAACCTAACCAAAAAAAGCTGGCATAAGCATTTCAACTTCATAATTTTGGTGTCTCCATTAGCAAGTAAATTGCACCATGGGACTAAGCTTAAGTTTTCAAGCAGTTTAATCACAGATTAACTTAAGTATAAGGTTAACTAAACCATGGTTAAAATATTATATTCCTAGATTCTTTTAGATATTATGTCTGCTGGTTAATTTTTCCTGCAGTGCTTTAGGTGCTGAATTAGTTGCATATAATATTATATAGCATATTATACAAAGATATGTTTGTTTCTTATCTCTGATACATGTATCTGCAGATCTGTAGTTCCTTTTTATGAACCAGATTTCTAGTACATGGATATTTCTTCGAATTTTTTGCGGATATGCTTCGTTTTACTATAAGTTCGAGCGATAGGATCCCGGAAATACGGTCCTGCGTATGTTGTATCTAATTCGGAGAAAGAAGTGCTCATTCACAGAGTACACATAGGCTGATCACAGATTACAATGCTCAAAAACTTGGGATGCACATAGGGTTGACAAATGTGTTTATGATGATGATCAGGTAGACAGGTTTAGATTTTAGAGGGCTGGCTTATGTGGTTTTTTTTTTTGCAAATTGAACAAAGGACTTTGGATTTGTGGGTAGGTAAACATCTTCATTCTCCCATAAGTCAGCCACGAAGATGATCGCATTGTCACTGGCTAATGGCTATGAGGACAATAATAGTATACTTGTCGAGACACACACAAGAACTTATGTCAGACAGTACAAATTTAAGAAATTATATTAAAAATTTAGAAATATGAAATTATAAAATTTAAGAAGTACAATAGGGAGTGTGATCGTACCCAAACACTCCCTCGATCCATCCGAAGAATTATCTCAACCGTCTATTTTTACATAACTAATTGTTATAAATTTATGTAAAAATAAAAAAAGAAAATTACATTGTGTAAGAGGACCTTTTATATATATATACTACAAACATTTTTGTTTCAAATTTTGTGTAAATCTTGTTAAAAGTCCAAAGGTTGACAACCAACTTTGAAAATGTTTTCAAAGTTTGATAAATGTTTCTTTGAAAATAGTTTTCAAAGTTTGATAAATGTTTCTTTGAAAAATGTTTTTCAAAGTTTGGTAAAGTTTGGTAGATTTTTGTTGAAAATAGAAATGAGTAGATTCACTTTAGTCATTGCACTGTAGGGTATTTTCAAAGATTAGTCCATAAGTTTCAACTATAAATACCCTAGCTCATTTAGCTTCAAAACCATCCCAAAATCCCAAAAATCATTTCTTTCTCCTAATACTATAGAGTTTTCTTGTGAATAGTGAGTATTTTGTAAACACCTGTAAATTTTTTCTCTTAGTAAAAGATCTGCGGCAGTCCGGAGACATAAGCACAATTGGCTGAACTCTGTTATCAATTTCGGGTATTATTTTTCCGCTTTTATTACGCATTCTCACTAATCTGGTTATAGGAAAATTATTTGTACTCGGTTTATTTTCCAACAACTGGTATCAGAGCTTTTGGTTGTGAATTTTGTCAATTTTTTTTGCGAGGTTACTATTTATTACTATTCACGTGAATAGTGAATTTCGTGAATAGTAAAAAAAATTCGGCGATACAAGCTTGTCAACGGAGGTGTTCTAATACACGGTGGTTCGCAAGAATTGTCAGAAACGATCCAAACGAAACCAGATTTAAGTAGGAGCGATGGCTGCAGACGAAGGGAATATATGAAAATTGAAAAGTTCGATGGTGCGGACTTTGACTTTTGGAAGATGCAGATTGAAGATTTTCTGTACCAGAAAAATATATATCAACCTCTCTCAGGAAAGCAACCAGAGGGCATGAAGAATGAAGACTGGGCTCTTCTCGACAGACAAGCCCTCGGAGTTATCCGACTAACGTTATCCCGCAATGTTGATTTCAACATAGCAAAGGAAAAGACCACAGCGGGTCTTATGACCGCTCTCTCCAGTATGTATGAGAAGCCATCAGCCTCAAACAAAGTGCACTTGATGAGGCGATTATTCAATTTGCGGATGACGGAAGGGACATTGATGACATAACACCTAAATGAACTCAACACAATCACAACCCAGTTGAGTTCAGTGGAAATTGAATTCGATGATGAATTTCGAGCTTTAATTCTCTTATCATCTCTACCAGACAGTTGGAATGCTACTGTTACAGTAGTTAGCAGCTCATCGGGAAATAGTAAATTGAAATTCAACGATGTTCGGGATCTGGTACTGAGCGAAGAAATTCGACGGGGAAAATCCAGAACGGGAAAGAAAGATTTTACATGTTATAATTGTGGCAAGAATGGTCACTTTAAAAGAGATTGTCAAGCACTGAAGAAAAATACTGGCGCACATGAATCTGCCAACGTGACAGAGGAGACGGGTGATGCCATGATTCTAAGCGTCAACAGTCCGATTGAATCATGGATCTTGGATTCAGGGGCATCTTTCCACTCCACCCCATGCCGAGAAATCATGGAAAATTATGTCAGTGGTGATTTTGGGAAGGTTCATCTAGCTAATAATGAAACCTTGAAGATCGTCAGAAAAGGAGACATCCGACTAAAGTTGCCAAACCAGACCACCTGGACGCTGAAAGGAGTGAGACATATTCCTAGTCTCAAAAGAAATCAGATTTCTGTTGGACAGCTTGATGAAGAATGATATAACACAATCTTTTCAGGCTGTGAATGGAAGATTACCAAAGGAGCACTCGTCATTGCTCGTGGTAAGAAAATTGGTACTCTCTATGTAACCTCAAATTTAGAGAATATATCATTGCAGCCGCAGATGCTGATGGAAAATCAAACCTATGGCACCAAAGGCTTGGTCACATGAGCGAGAAAGGGATGAAGACACTTTTGTCAAAAGGGAAGCTGTCGGATCTAAAGAATGTAGATGTCGGACTATGCGATGATTGCATCTTTGGCAAACAAAAGAAAGTTAGCTTTACAAAGATTGGTAAGATATCCAAGGCTGAAAAGTTAGAGTTGGTTCATACTGATGTATGGGGACCATCTCCAGTTCCATCTCTTGCAGGCTCACTATATTATGTCACCTTCATCGATGATTCTACAAGGAAGGTGTGGGTTTATTTTCTGAAGAAGAAATCAGAAGTCTTTAATACCTTCAGAAAATGGAAGGCCATGGTGGAAAATGAGACTGGTCTGAAAGTCAAGCGGTTGAGGTCTGACAATGGAGGAGAGTACATAAATCGTAGATTTAGAGATTTCTGCGCAAATAATGGGATCAAGATGGAGACAACAGTTCCCATGACACCGCAGCAGAATGTCATAGCAAAGCGCATGAACATAACTCTGAATGAACGTGCCAGAAGCATGAGGATACATGCCGGATTGCCCAAACTTCTATGGGCTGAAGCTATCAACACTGCAGCTTACTTGATCAACCGTGGGCCCTCGGTTCCTTTGGCAGAATACCAGAGGATGTTTGGAGCAAGAAAGAAATAAACTTTTCACACTTAAGAGTGTTTGGTTGTATTTCTTATGTACACATAAACTCTGCTGAAAGAAGTAAACTTGATGCCAAGTCCAACAAATGTGTCTTTGTTGGTTATGGTGGTGATGAGTTCGGTTACCAATTTTGGGACTACGAAAATCGGAAGATTATCAGAAGCAGAGATGTCATTTTCAATGAGAATGTGATGTACAAAGACATATCAACCATAGAATCAAGTAGCTCAAACATTGAAGCTGAAACAAAGGAATTTGCTGAGTTCGAGGAGATTTCTGGAAATGATGTTCAGATCAGTCCTGAAGCAGTTCAAGAAGAACCAGGCACACCGGAACTAAGACGCTCCTCCATAATTCCTAAACCAACACAACGATATTCTCCTTCTTTGCACTACTTGTTGTTGACTGACAATGGTGAACCAGAGTGCTATGATGAAGCAATGCAAGTGGAGGATTCAGTCAAGTGGGAGCCTTCCATGAAAGATGAGATGGACTCGCTTATGTCAAATCAGACGTGGGAATTAGCTGAATTATCACCAGGCAAGAAAGCGCTCCACAACAAGTGGATTTACAGGATCAAAGAAGAGCATGATGGGAGCAAACGCTACAAAGCAAGATTGGTTGTCAAAGGTTTTCAGCAAAAAGAATGTATTGACTACAATGAAATTTTCTCTCCAGTCGTAAAATTGTTCACAATCAGACTGGTGTTGAAAATTGTAGCTGCAGAGAATTTACATCTTGAGCAGTTAGATGTAAAGACAGCTTTCCTTCATGGTGATTTGGAGGAAGAAATATATATGAGGCAGCCAGAAGGCTTCATAGAGGCAGGCAAGAAAAACCTGGTATGCAGGTTGAAGAAGAGCTTGTATGGTTTAAAACAAGCTCCTAGACAATGGTACAAGAAGTTCGATAGCTTCATGAGTAGCAGCGGTTTTACCAGATGCCAAGCAGATCATTGTTGCTACATCAAGAGGTTCGACAATAACTTCATTATTTTATTGTTGTACGTTGATGACATGCTCGTTGCAGGCTCAGATATGCAAGAGATTATAAACTTGAAGCAAAAATTGTCGAAGCAGTTTGCTATGAAGGATCTGGGCGCTGCAAAGCAGATTCTTGGGATGAGGATTAAGAGAGACACAAAGTCGGGGACTTTGATGTTATCACAGGCTGAGTACATCAACAAAGTACTCTCCAGGTTCAACATGCAAGATCCTAAACCAGTAAGTACACCTTTAGGTGTTCATTTTAGACTCTCCAAAGAACAGTCACCAAAGACGGAGGAAGAACGTGCACACATGGTGAAGGTGTCGTATGCCTCAACAATTGGAAGTCTAATGTATGCCATGGTTTATACCAGACCAGATATTGCTCAAGCAGTGGGAGCTGTTAGCAGGTACATGAATAATCCAGGCAAGGTACACTCGGAAGCAGTCAAATGGATCCTCAGATATCTGCGCGGTACTACAAACAAATCACTTTGTTTCAAAGGTGGAGATACGATACTGACAGGCTATGTAGATGCTGACTTAGCCGGAAATGTTGACATCAGAAGGAGCACTACAGGGTATGTCTATACTCTAGGAGGCACCGCAGTGAGTTGGGTTTCTCAACTACAGAAGATAGTTTCTCTCTACACAACTGAAGTAGAATATGTCGCTGTTACGGAAGCTAGCAAGGAGATGGTTTGGCTCCAAAGTTTCTTGGAAGAGTTAGGCAAGAAACAAGAAAACAATGTCTTGTATTGCGACAGTCAAAGTGTTATCCATCTAGCAAAGAATCCGTCTTTTCATTCCAGGACAAAACACATACAATTACGATATTATTTTATCCGGTCTCTTCTGGAAGATGAGATTTTGAAACTTGAAAAGATCAGGACAAATTAAAGTTTTTAATTGATTTTGGTATCTAACCATTATTGTAATTAAAATATCCCATTGAATTCAAGTTTTGAAAAGAGAACAAACTCTCTTCAATGCCCATAAATTTCTTCCTCTACTTTTCTAAGATTCGAGCATATGATATTATCATCTTATAAAATAACACAAGGGTTTTATCCTCAAGGATAACTTCACTAAATAGAGAAATAAAAATTAGAATATAATACAATAAAAATTTAAATATAATATAAAAATTAATCGTATCAAAGGAGTGTCAAAAGTCTTTAAATTTTTGGGGAAAAAATATCAATTGATTTTTTTAGGACGTTAGAGAATTTGTTTAATTTTTAAAGTAAATAATAGAAAATTAAAAAATTATTTAAAATTTAAAATATTATAAGTATAAAAATATATGTTGTGGGAGAATGAATGAAAAGGAAAGAAATCACGCATTAAAGGACTGAAATCGATAGTTATGCGAATCAAGTTCATTCTTTTCTTTTCTTTGGGTTGTTCGTATCGTAGCTCGTGAAAATGGTTTATTTATGGTTTCAGTCCTTCAACTAAACAGATTTTTCGAAAATACCAATTTTCAGCATAATAGAGGGGACTGAAAAAAAAAGCAAAGCAAATAAAAATGTTCGATTTTATTTATTTACTACTGAATATAAAAGAAGAGTGAAATCAATATAACAGTAGAAAGGAAGGTTCCTAGTCATGATTATTTCCGAAATACACGTCGTTCGTCGGCGGCGACAAAGCTCGAGTATCGTCGGCTCCGGCACCACAAATGCATTTACAGTTGACACAGCGCCTGGGAAACCCTTGGCACACTGAACTGCAGTTCACCATGCGAGGACAGCAAAAAGGTCCTCTTGCTTCAGCTCCAGGCAACCTCAACAATGGCGATTCTGTCAAAGCAAATAATTATTTTGTCGATGAGACTCGAACTCGTATACTTGTCGGGGTGCTAAACGGAAGATAAAAGAGGAAAGGATTCACATACCGGAAGCCATAACCAAGAGAGTGATACAGAAAACGAGTTTGGTCCTCCACGTACTTGTTTCCATTACCATTATTATTATAGTTCTTGGTTTTCGGCACTGTTGCTTTAGGGGGAGTTAGCTTATTATATAGATTTATGTTCATGGATGCGTTTTATATGGCGATATTTATAGAGGTTAGAGGAAGTAGTAAATGTCTAAATCCAAACGTGTGTATATATATATAACTTTTATTTTTCCATGTCAAATTTAATTAATTTCCTTTATAAATATATTGAATGGTTTTAAACATAAAAGATATTGTTAAACATAACATATATTACCTTATAATCATTCTAAATTATTTAAAAAAAATAAAAATAAAACTAAAATTAAAAGAAATAAGAGTTAACAACAACCAGATTGCTTTATTTCTTGACGTATATTACTGAAAATTACATCCTCCATTGTTTCGCAAAATTTAATCAGATGCACCGCAAAGGCAATGGCCATTAAGACAGATATCGTTATTGGCCTTAGGACCACATTTTTCATGACATTCAAAGTCATTGGAACAAGTAAGAGCTTTGATTTCAAAAACTGTGCATTGGCATTGGCCTTTAATACAATGTGCAACTCCTCCATGACAATCAACTGCTTTGCAATCTTCTTCACTGCTGCATGGAATAAATACCTGCCCTCGACCTCTTTGTACCAGTGAGAACATCATTGCTGCAAAATACATATAGAACTACAATTATAGTTAAATTTATCGAATAACAAACATCGAAAAGAGCGATGAGAACTTACAGGAAACAATCAGCAAAAGGATGAGAGATTTCATGTTTGAAGGAGGTGATTTTTCCTGGGATTTTGATTGTATGAGAAATTGTAGAGAAGAAAGGTGAGGTAAACAAGGTTATTTATAGTTGAGTTATTCAACCATAAATCATGGTTGATTTGGAATTATAAGGTAAGTAAATCCCAAAATGAAACTATTCCTTTTGGGTGTTTATTTTATTTGCAGTGCTTTCTTTATCAGTCTTATATGCATTTCATGATATTGGAAATATATTAATCTTTATATTGCTTTCCTTATCAATCTTATATGCATTTAATAAAATGTACGATTGGATGAATTTTGATGCTTTTAGGTCTTTACCCTGTTTCTATTTATAAACAATGGTTAAAGAGTTTGTAAACACCAATTTTTTTATTTTTATTTTTTGGTTTAAGATCTGAGCCCAAACTTAGCGGACTCAAATTTAGATCCGAGTCAAATTTGGATCCAACTCCATTTCACATAATCAATGTCATCTTAGTAAGCACGAATCAAACGATCTCAGTAGTTAATGAATTGTAATATGAGCGTTTAATATCAAATGGTTGAGGGTCTTTGAACATATACTACATTGTATTCACTCCAGGTTAATCAAAAGATCAACATAATGTCTACGATATTTATACAATTTTCTAGTAAAACTAACCTCAAATTTAAAATCAAGATATCAAGACAAAACAACTGATGAAATTTAATACCGGACGACTACCGTCTTTCGTTTTAATATTGTTTGTATCCAACCTAGAATGTTTCATCCTAATTTTATCATTGGTGTTACTAAATATTATAATTAGATTCAAACTTTGAATATCAAAATCTAAATTCACTTTCGATTTTGAATATATATTTAAATAAAATTGGGTCTCGTTAAAAATCTCTTCATGACTCAATCAAACTGAGAATCAATTGAGACAACGGAAGAAAAAAATACCCTTAACTATTACTAAAATGCCAGCAAACCGCAGCAAAATATTGTTATCCGATACACACTGCACAACATTAAACAACACTTACTGGCGCCAAAACCAGTCCCTATAGAACACGACCCGATTTCAAACAAAGACTTAGCTATTGCGTCCATTTAGTGTGAAGGAACTTAATTTAAGTTTGACGCTTTTGATGTATGATTCCGGTTGCTACATGACCGAAGAAGTTTGTGTTACCATGTTATTAAATGCCAATGTTTTCACCATCCTCGGATCCCAGCATAGCCATTGTTAAAACCCCATCATCAACACAGCTATGGAGAACCCTTCTTTGGATATCACAAGAGGAAGAGGAGCTTCTCTACACTAAAACCATCGCCTTCGTTAACCCTTAGCATAAAACTACAAAATGTGTATCATTTGTTAAGTTGAAAAATCTTAGAAATGGAACCCATCAAGAGGTAAAGGAAATATTATTTTTACTAGAGATCTTGGGTTCAAGAAGTTGCATCCATAGGGTGTATGTGTTTGTTGTCAATTACTTAAGAAAATTCCGAATAGATATTACCTTGTAATCACCCTGAGAAATCTTACTAATGGAAACTAAAATCAAATTCCTTTGTTGAATTATAAAATTTTAGCAAGGAATTAAAAGGTAAAAGTAAAATTAAAAGAAGAAGAGAGTTAACCACCACCAGATTACTTTATTTCATGACGTGTACTATTGAAAATTACATCATCCAATTTTCAGCAAACTTAATCAGATGCACCACAAAGACAACGGCCATTAAGACAGACATTGTTCTTGGTCTTAGTACCACATTTTTCTTGACATTCAAAGTCACTGGAACAAGTTTTGATTTTAAAAACTAAGCATTTGCATTGTCTTTTGATACAATGTGCAACTGGTCCATGACAATCAACTGCTTTGCAGTCTTCTTCAATGCTGCATGGTATAAATACCTGCCCTCGACCTCTTTGCACCATTGAGAACATCATTGCTGCAAAATATATATATAGAGAATTACAATTATAGTTAAATTTATCGAATAAAAAACAACGAAAAGAGCGATGAGAACTTACATGAAGCAATCAGCAAAAGCATGATAGAGTTCATATTTGAGAAGGATGTGATTTTTCCTGGGATTTTTATTTTATGAGAAATTGTAGAGAAGAAAGGTGAGGTAAACAAGGTTATTTATAGTTGAGTTATTCAACCATAAATCATGGTTGATTTGTAATTATAAGGGTAAGTAAATCTCAAAATGAAACTATTCCTTTTGGCTGTGTTAATTTATTTGCATTGCTTTCATTATCAATCTTATATGCATTTCATGATATTGGAAATATATCAATCTTATATTGCTTTCCTTATTAATCTTATATGCATTTCATGATATGCGAACTATTCCATTTGGGTGTATTATTCTATTTGTAGTATATTTTATTCAAGTACAAATTTTTATATTCGTTGAGATCATTTCTCTTCAAACATGAATATTAGGGTCGGTTTGGTTTAAGAAAATAACCTTTATTTTCTTATTTCTTAGAAAATATGAAATATTGAAGAAAACATGTTTGGTTGTAAAATTGGAAAATGAAAACAAAAATAAGTGAAAGATCCTAAGACCAATATCCATATTTGTCTTGATGGCCATTGCCTTTGTGGTGCATCTGATTAAATTTTGTAAAACAATGGAGGATGTAATTTTCAATAATGTACGTCATGAAATAAAGTAATTTGGTTGTTGTTGTCTTTTTTTTAAAAAAAAATTATGTTTACCTTTTATAAATATGCCAATGAATGCACAATCATTCAATCGGAAATGGCAAGAATACACAACACCGGACAATGTGTGCCGGAAAACATAGCTTCAGCTGGTCTTCAGAAAAATAACCGAAGATGACCTGTTTCTCACTCTTGAAAAATACATAGCTAATGCAGAAATTAATGCAATGAGAATTACTATCAACATGTATGACAGTTTAAGGTTGCCTGTCTTTGCTTTTTCTACTACCTGCATGCTCGGAACAGTGCTAGTGTCACTGCCAGTTCCGGTGCCAAATGGCTTAGCTGCTTTCCTGTGATGAGATTCATCTTTTGATGGCTCATCCACCTGTTTTAGAAGAGAGAGAAATGAAAATGATTCAAATTTTCAAAAGAAAAGGTACATAATGGTGAACTTATTTTTTAATTTTGAGAAAGATATAATGGTGAACTTAAAAGGGAAGGCAATGGGAAATTTTTAATAGAAATGTACCTGCCTGTACACTTGTGGCTGAGGGAACTGCATTCTCCAATGGTTTTGTACTCCAATCACTTTTCGGAACAGATATTTCGTCGCCATCGTCATCTCCGGAGTTACAGACTGCTGTTGAGTTGGCTTTTGCCTTATTCTGTAACTTTTTCATCAATATTTCCTTCTCATTTACTAATGAAGATAGCTGCAAAGAACATTTTGCACATAATTAAACCGAATGTAATATCTAATCTCCTCATTCCGAAGAAAAAATGACACAAAGTTAATACCTGTTTTTGAATGCGTTCTCTTTCTGAAGCTAGTTGGGCAACCATATCTGTGATTAGCTTGGTCTGATGACTGATTTGTTTTGCATTTGCGTCTTTTTCGATGTGAGCTTGGTTCAAAGATGTCTCCAAGCATTCAATTTTATGCCTCAGGATGCCTAGCTCGTCATTGATTTCAGAGTTAGATTCGGATAATATAATGCATTGCTCCTCCATGCTATCAGTTCTACTTTCAGCTTTCGAAACTTTCGATTTTAGATCTTCGATTAAAATTTCCATATCCCAAATTGCAGAGTAAAGCATGTTTTGCTGCTCCTGACTCGCTTCAGATGATGCTTTTGAATGCTGTAGTTGAATCTCCGATTCCCTCAACTGCTTTTCGAGTGAGGTCACCTTCTTTGTGCTTTTCTCGTTATTACCTTTGAGGAAATTCAACTCTTCGGTAAGTTCCAGGTTTGTATCTGTTAACTCCGACACCTTGGCTTCCGCACTTTCGGCCCTGTTTTCAGCTTCATAAAGGCTTTCTTTTAGTGAATCGATAACAATTTCCATTTCCTGAAGATGCTCTTGACTCGTTTCATTGGAAGCATTTGCTTTCTTCAGTTGTAGCTCGGATTCTTTAAGCTGTTCCTCAAGTAATTTCATGTTCTTTCTCAATGTCAATACTTCGGAAGCCTTTGCAGCATGTTCGGCGTTGCTGATCTCTAGCTTTTTTAAAGCAATATCTTTGACGTTCAAATCTTCGATGCAACCTTCAAGTTTAGATTTGAGCTCAGCTTCTCGTAGAATCGAACCATTTAGGTTAAACTGACCAATCTGAAGTCGACCTAACAGTTCTTTCGAAATTCCCATGAGCACCTCAGAAGCATTCTCAGCCTCTAGAAACCGTCCCCAAACGACTTCGGCCGCCTCTTCCATGCGAAGAGCGACTTGTTCGGTATAATGTAGCTTTAGCTTTACTTGGTCTTCGTTTAGTCCGGACTTGGATAATTTCTTTTCGAGATCTAGCTCCCTTGCGAGTGATCTATCGAGCAACCTTAGAATTTGTCTTTGTTGTTCAACAGTCTGCACTTTGTATTTCCCGATGAGGTTCGATAGCTGATATTGCTCGGATATATCCACAGCCTCATTGTTATTCCCTATTAATATGCCAATGTTAAGAGTGGTCAAATGCTGTTAAACTCTAAAGTATATCAGTTATTTGATAAAATCGAACTCGGACTTACAGTTCTCGTTTCTGAAATACGGAAACGAAGCCTGCAGCTTGGTCGACAGAAACTTCACCTCCGAGACAATCCCTTGACACTTCTTCATGGATTCTTCCGAATCATGCAGCTTCTTATCCATTTCATCAATCTGTGCTCCTGAAGGCATGCATGAAGATGTTTTACGACGAGCCTCAACAATCTCCGACTGAACGGTACTAAAGAAAGTTTCAATTTCCCTTAACTCCGAATCAAGAATTCCACATAAAAGGTCGAATGTCAATGCCTTCTCGATGAACCGAGCTGAAATGTCACTATTCTCTAAGGCCATCCCTTCCGGACCGTTGTCCCAACCCAAAAGAAGCATCAAAAGTACATGCAAATTAACCAATTTCTCATTAGAATACACCAAATCCAAGTCAATCCTGTCTAAATCTGCACTCAATTGTTCTTCGATGCCCCCTGCACTCAATAAGGCCTCTTCATGACAATGAACCGTATTCGACTCCAGGCTTCCGATATTCATTTCCATGGCTTGATTAGTGGTCTAGCTATCTGTTAGGCAAATGATGATAAGAAAAATCCAGTTCAGGTCTCTCTCAGCCACAAAATTTGGGGTTCTAAGTTCTAACTACACATTAAGCAGTTAAATTCAGCTATAAAGAACTCTTCGATGTGAATTAGGGGTTGTCAAGGGATCAAATTCGATACTGATGTCAACCGAAGACTCGATCCAATCATAAAAACAACAAGTCAGATTTTCATTAGCTAACCCATCTTGGAACATGAAAAATTCACCAACCCAAATTCATTCCAACATCTTAAAGTTCCCCAAAAGTTGTAATAATGCAACATTCATCAATTTACTTAAACTCCACAACAAGATTCAGATGAAAAAGCCAACAAAAACTTCAACAAAACTCTAAATTCAACCTTCAGTTCTTCACAGATACTTTCCAGCAAACAGGTGGTTGAAAAGTTAACGTCTTTGAAAGTCAAAAGGATAAGCAGCCATTGAAAGAGACCAAACAGTCAAAATTCTTTCCAACAATAAATGAACATAAACAATCAGAGAGACAAAGTGCCATGTAAGAGTTAAATCTCAGACACAAGAATGGTTTTTTTTTTATTTGCAAGGAAGACAAGAACTGAGATGAAAAAGAGGGTACCTGAGACCAAAATCAAGATGGGTTTTTTTTGGGAAAATGGATCAGCCAAAGAAGAAAACTTTAATTCACCGTTTGAACAGAGACCTGTTATGTTCATAATACCGTTGATGATTCATCGATTTTGTCTGTTACAAATGGGTGTGTTAGCAAATAACAAGTCAATTGTCATTGAGAGTGGGCGTTGGTTTAAGGAGTTGGAAGCAAAAGATGAGGTGGTCGGCGCACTTTGGCCACCGTGAGCCATGGGGTCCTACGTTGAATTATTGAGATGCCATTAAAATAATGTTATGGCCTACTACCATATTTTACGAGTATTTTAACGTCTCGAACTCCCATTTTACTATATTTCAATTTGATTTTTTAAAATTTAATGTTAATTTTATTTATAGGAAAGAATAATACTCTTAATGAGGCTAAAACTCATAATATAAAAAATATAAAAAATAAAGATGAATAAATTAATCAACAAAAAAATAAAAATAAATTAATTAATTAATCGATTAAATATGATTGTTCATATTTAAATTTAATTTAAGTTTATTGTAATATAGAGTGGGGAAGAAACTAGTCCCCTGACATTATCGCATGTATACATCCAAATACCTAATTCCAAAAGACAAAGAGAAAATCAACTATGGGAGATAACAAGAACTGGATAAAATTCTTGGCCAAAGCAAACGACAAGTTCCCCTGTTTTTGGTCATATGGAAACAATTGACATGGTCGATTCATGTCCTAAACAATTAAGTGGTCTATAGTCGGTTAATAAAATATTGAAATTATTGATTTCAATTTTTAAAAAAATATCATTCATAATTTATTTTATAAATCTAGAGTGAATATAAGATAGTATATGTTGAAATACTTTTAATTCTTTCATAATAAGCGTTCATATCTCTAATATATACAGTACTTAAATCCGATACTTCAAAAAAAAAACAAGTCTCTTAACTATCGAAATCGTTTAATTCGTGTTATCTTTCAAAATTTTAAAATATATAAAAACAATTTCTCTAATATAAATTATTTTAAGTTAAAAACACATTATTTACTTAAATTATTTACACACATAAAATTGTTTTTAGGCCCAACATAAAATTCAATTTTGGATCACCGTAGTATAAATAATTAATTGCTGAAGGCCATACAAACAAAATATTTATTTTGGGCCTATTTGTAAGGGGCCTTGTCTTTCCATTTTTATTCACTTGAGAAAACATTTGAGATAATTTAATTTTTTATTAACATTAAATATTAAATAAACTAATTAATAACTTTAATAAATAATAAATACAAATAAACATTAATATCAGCTAAAAGATAAACATTATTATTGTCATATAAATAATAAATACAAATAAACATTAATATCAGCTAAAAGATAAACATTATTATTGTCATAGGATATTATTAGTATTAAATGACACATGAATCAAACCCCATGAAAAAGTTTTCCATGTCGTTGCACGTCTGAATTTTCTTTTTAATTTTTTATATCTTATCTTTGCTTCTTATTTTTTAAATTTTCAATACCTATGTCTTTATTACATGTTTTTTTTTCTTTTTGCACGTTTTTCTATCTTTATGTATCGATCGTTTGGTCATTTATTTATTTAGGATTAAATTTGACGTCGTCTCGACTGATAAAGATGATGCTTATTTATTATCACGCTAATATTTCCTACTTTGAAACCTAATATTGGATTTAGATACACGATTTACGCTCGAATATAGTTATCTCACGACATCCGACTCTTATTTTATGATTATCGATGGTCTTTCAATAGCTTGATATTCTGTTGCGGTTCGTTTGTCAATGCAATCAAATTTGTTTGTATCTTTTAAATGAATTTTTAACATTTTCATGTATGATCTCAAGTTGCTAGTTACTTATGTCTAGGGGTGTGCAAAAAAATCCGATTTGACTATCTGATCCATTGATCTATTGACCCGATTCAAAAATTTGGATATCCAATCGATTTTTTAATTTTCGGATAATCCTGATCTAATATTTGAAAAAATTTAGATAATCGGATTGAATACGGATTGTCTAAAATTTGATTTCAGATTATCTAAAAATTTGATAAAAATGGGCCTTTATATTATTGTACTCAGACCCAAATAATGATAGCCAATCAGCCCGCCCCAGCCTAAAATGCTTAGCGCCCCAACCTTCAGCCTTGTTTTACTGATTGAACAATCGAATTTCCCAAAATTTCACCGTCCAAATTATGCTGCAGCTTCCAAATTCCAATTGAATAAAATAGATTTTCATGGATTGCAGCCTTCTCTTTCACATTCTTTTGATAAGTATATACACTAGACGTATATAATATGTGTATAAAGACACAAAAATATTAAATTTAAATTTAATTTTTTTAAATTAAAGTTTATATTCGAATTCATATATCTTAATATCCTATCAAAAAAATCGGATATATAGTTTTTCCAGATCATAAACATATCAAAATTTTAGTGATCTGGATTTTTAATATATCTGAATTTTCATATCAGATCATATCTAATATCCGAAAATGTACACCCTACTTATGTCAATGATTATAAGAATCTTTTATAATTATATATTTAATTTATGATTGAAAATTTTCATTATAATGTTAGATATGTTTATCTTTTCTAATAAATTATTGATTTCTATTTGCATTGCAAAAAATTAAAAATTATCAACACTAATATAAAATTTTTAAAATAATGATAGTTCGCTGATAAACTAACATTACCATAACCCAATCATAATATACTATCGGTGATTATAAATGTTTTTCAATATTTAATCCAAATTTTAAAATTAATATGATAATTAAATAATACTGTGTAAATAAAATGTGTTAAGTATTTTTCGTTGGATCTTCGAAGTTTTGAATATATTAATAATATTGATAATAAAAAAATTAGTGTTGTTTAAATCATAAAAATATAAAATGTATATTGGTAATTAATTTAAAAAAAATTAAATAAATATTACATCATAATTATTTAAATTATTTAAAAAAACCATAAAAGGTCTCCGTCACCGTCATCAATCTTTTAGGTTTTGAAAAGCAAAGCAAAAGCATTACAGTTTCGAGGAACATGACAATCGACAACGACTTCTCAACTCCATCACCGTAGTCTCTTTCTTTCTGTTTTTCATGGATGTCATGAATGCCAACTTTTGAATAAAAATTCTACATTTATAAACCGCTCACTTTAAGTTTAGACTTAATTCATAAATTGGTCCTAAACAATATTCATTTTCTTAAATTAATATCTAATTTTCATTTTCATCAAAAATGACACTTAAATCTTATTTACGTTCTATATTTTCGTTTTTCTTAATTAGCCGATGATAATCAATAATAATATAATTCAATAATTGGATAACACGTGGTAGTACTTAACTGACTTTTTTGTCACGTGATAAATTTTAATCAATTAAATTTTATTTTGAATAAAGAACATATTTTGAACCATTGGAAAGATAAAGTTTAGGTATTACTTCGTATCTGAAACTTAAATGTTTTTTAGAATTTTTCTTAATAATTAAAAATTTTCTTAATCATTAATAACATACATTTTGTAGACACAACTGCTCGAATTCAAAACTTATAGAAATAATAATTATTTTTATTGATTAAAACCGTTTGATAGCTTCATGTCGTATTAATAATATATATATATATATATATATATATATATATATATATTATTAATAATAATATTCGATGCTTGTCTAGGATGGAGTCGGGGATAACAGATTAGAGATAAATAATAACAATAATAAATATTTTAAGCTCTAATTGTTAAGTAAAAATTTCAAAATTGAGAGATTAAAATTTAATTTACTTAAATTAAAAAAAATAAAGACCTAAAAGGTATTTAAACAAAAACAATGAATATATTAATCAATATTATTATATCGTTCTATGGAAAGGCTGACCATTTTTTAACCCAAGTCAAACCAATGAGCTGTGCCGTCTAAGCTTCATTGATTTAGAATATTAAAAATCTACTGATTATTATTATTTAAATATATTTTGATTATTAATTTAATTGTACATTTTACGTTAACACATAATAAATTAAATAATATAAAAAGAAAGTGCTTTGCTTTGCTTTAATCGATTAAAGCATAGGAGCAAGGACTACTTTTATAATTAAAAAGAAAATGAAGGAGTGGAAGAGTAATCATGGAAGATACAGTCCATTGATTCTGTTTAAAGAACCTTAAAGCTCTGTTTAAGAGATCTCGAATACCTAACTCCCATCCCATGTTGCTTTGGATGGGATTTTCTTTCTTTCTTTTTCCTAAAAGTTCCTAAAAGGAGAGCCATGGCCAACCATGACCCAACTCTTACTTTCTTGTAATAATATTTTTTATGAATTTTTGTTTTAATCCCTTTATTATGCTAAACTTGGAGATTTAGTTTCTCTATTTTTAGTTTAATATAATTTAGCCATTCTACTTTTATAATGTTGTTAGTTGATCTGAATTGTTAACTATTAACTGCAAGTGATGATGCAAATTTTCTACTGTAAAAGTTATGCAAACTATTTAGTAGTGAAATAAAATATTATTCTCTATTAAAGATTTAGGTTCGAACAATTATATCTATAGGATGTGTGTACATTATAAATATGTTAATTTTTTTAAACAAATACAATTTTATAACCATCTCATATTATTAAAAGGAATAACACATAAATTATGTCACTGTTTAATTTTAGATATTTTGATCAATTAGATACCTAACAATCTTTTTTAACTACTTGTACATTAATTTAAAAATGGACTCATATTGATAATTTATTGTTAAAAAGGGATTATTGAGGTAAAAGTTATATAAAAATAACACATATATTGAAAAAATCATTAGTACAAGAAGAAAAATAAAAATTAAGAATATGTATAGAAAATTTAAAATTTTTGTCAGAACATAAAGCCTAAATTTAATGAAATTCATGAAATAAAAAGTGAACTATTTAATTTATTTTGAATAGTGCTTAGGGTTAAGTAAATAATACTGTTTTTATGTTATAAAGAAAAGTTAGTGTGTGAGAGATGCCATTATTCTAAACCTTAGGTGTTTGAGAATGATAGTTCTGTCATACGACAGTTTTAATATACAATTAATGAAATATGCTACTGGAAATGTTATTATTTTTAAATATTTTTAATAAAAAATTACCTACAAATTATTTTTTACCTTAAACATTATTGTTTCTTAACATTTATGGTAAAGTGCATAATATTAACATTTTCGGTAGAAAAAATAATATTTTAGGTAATGTTTTACCGAATATGTTAAATATTTCCGGTAAAACGCCCAATAATAACATTTTCAGTAGAAATAATAATATTTTAAGTAAATTTTTACCAAAAATATTAAAAAAAATAATAATATTCTAATAGCGTATTTAATTAATCGTATATTAAAATTACCGTACCAGAGACTTTCTCCTTTCAAAATTGAAAGTCCATGGCCAACTAATAATGGCATGGAAGAAAGAGATAAATAGACAGTCCATAAATTATTGTTCATGGTGAGACTTGGTTATAGGGGAAAGAAATTGGTGTTCAAACTTGTTGGTCAACTCTCTTGAGAATTTTTTGAGTAATTTTTATACACAATAATTATTTAATATATCAATCTTTTAATTTCTATTTTTATCTATAAATTAAAGTTAAAAGTAATTATACCTTTAATTAATAAGTTTTCATAATATTTGATTTAAATTAATTAATTAATAAATAAAATATTAATAGAATTTGCTCAATATGATATGTGTATGTCACGAGATCATTGTTCTATTTATAAAAAAAAATATCTGATAGTATATACAACATTATCATTTTCAAAATTGAAATAATATTTTTTTATTTAATTTTTTTTAAGACATGACATTCTTCCTCAAATCGTCAAAGGACCGCTCATTTATTGTGGGATCACTATCTTATTCTTAAAAAAGATATATCTAATAAAATGTGTAGTGTCATGTTTTTGAACTTTAACACCTCACTTTTTTTTTATGTAGGATCAATGTCCTCCACGTATCTAAAATGTGATATCTAAATATATTTATAATTTGATCATGTTTTAAATATGTGTAACATGAGCAAACATATTTGGTGATTGACCAAATTATTAATATTTATTCCTTCATAATTATTTTAGATAAGTGTTCTATATTCATTGGAGCATTCCCCTTCTTCAAGAGTTTTTTTCCCCTCTATATATGATTAAGATTAGATTTAGAATTTATAAAAAAATATTTAATATTAAATCTAACCTGAAATTTAACAATTAAATTAATATAATATTAACATTCTAACAATTTTATATAGGTAATAATTTGAGGATAATTGATATTTAACCCTACAGATTTCATTGATATATCAAGGGTTGGATGATAGTGATAAATAGTTCACTTTGTCTAGTGCAGGTGAAGGGTCAATAATTAAGGGGACTAGAGTAGAAGAAGAGGGAGAACAATAAATTTTTATAAGGTAATAGTGTGAAATGAGCTAGATTTTAGCTTATTGACCAAACAAACCTCCATTAAAGATCTTGAAGCTCTCTTCCCAAGGTTAATTTTTTAATCAAAAGGACAAATGCAACAAGTAGACAGAAAAAAATCATTTAATGGAGTTGGCAGTGTCAGTTGCTAGCTCAAATGGGTATAATTATAACCTAAATATACACTGGAAACAAACTTTACCCAAAGTGATTTTAAAGTTTTTCTTTTGGAGTTTTAAAGAGAAGACTGAAGAGAAGGGGGTGTTCTGTAATATTTTAACAGTAGTAGTGGTGGTGGTTAATGATCAAAGAGCTCTCTTTTTGATGCAAGCGTGGGTATAAATGCAGCAAATTTGCCATCACTTTCCTCTTTCAGTCTGTCTTCTACAAAATAGACAAGTACCCATTGATTTTCTCTCACTCAGAAGTAATAAACCTCTCTCCTTTATTACTTTTCTTCTCTAGTTTTATTTGACTGTTTTATAGCAGAGTTGCTTTGTTACTGAGCAAAGCAATCACACACACACACACAGAGAAAATAGCTAAGCTCAAATTCTATAAAAGCTTTAACTTGTGTGTGTCTGGGAGTATTGAATTAGAAGGCTTTGAATGAGAGAGCAGGGAGAGTACAGAAAAAAAGTAAGCACAGAATCTGAAAATGGGTATCTTTCTCTCTCTCTCTCTCTCTTTTCTGGGTTTCTCTGCTACGTTCTGACTAGGGTTTTGAATAAGAAGGATAACTTTATTTATTGTACTGAAACCAATGCTGTTCTTTTTCTTTTTGGATTAAATTGACTGTTTGTTGTGGACTTTCAGTTTTCCTTACAGCTTTCCCTGTTCTGTTCAATCCTTTTCATTTGTGCAAGTTTGTGTACTTCCAATTCTCAGTTGTTGCTTTGGAAATGACAGCTGTTTTCAGCTATGTTATTTTGGGATTTTCACTAATCGAGTTTCAGAAGTGGGGTTTTCTTTGACACTCCTTCTGGGGTGGGTGGATTTTTTTTTTTTTTTGGCTTTTGAGGTCTATATCTTTCTTACTTCCTAAGCTTTGTCGACCCCTTGAGAACTTAGTTGAAGCTTGCTTGTAAAGTTATTGTGTACTAATATATTTTAAAAATATACATAATTTGCCCATGTGATGTGTTTGTTGTTGTTCTTTGAACCTATCTCCATTCTCTTTTCTGGTCTTTGATCTTTGGTTGATGAACTTAGACTTTGGTATTTTTAGGTAGTGGTCAAATTTCCATGGCTTAGTTTCTGTTCATCAGCCTGACTTTGGACTATTGCCTAGGTGTTCATACATAATTGTGGATAAAGGCCTAGACTGAAATCTGCAATTCGTGTCGAAGAGGGATGGATGTTGGTGAAAAGGATAAATTCGAGCTAGAAAAGAGAAATGAGAATGGCATAAACTACCAAGGATCCGGTATGTCAGCAGCTTGGCAGTTTGCTGGTGGTGGCAATCTCACAAGTACTCCCATGAGTTTAGTTCCTAGTGATAATCCCTTGGTTATCGGTTCTTCATCTGGTTCGGCTTCGATGGTAGATTCGTTTTGTTCTAACCTTTGGGAGCACCCTTCTAATTCACAAAGTTTGGGATTTTGTGATATTAATGTGCAAAATGGTGCGAGCTCTTCAAATGCGATGGGAATTACAAAAGGCGGTCCAGCCTCTATGAGTAGTAGTATCGATAGACAATTTGATATGGCATGGAATGCAGCAAGTTCAATGTTGAAAGGGGGCATGTTTTTACCGAATGCGACTGGAATTCTACCTCAGAGCCCATCTCAGTTACCAGCTGACTCGGCTTTCATTGAGCGTGCTGCCAAGTTCTCGAGCTTTAATGGGGGAAGTTTTAGTGAAATGGTGAACCCTTTTGGTATTCCCGAATCTATGGCTGTGTATAATAGGGGTGTGGGCCTGATGCAAGGAACGCAAAATGTTTTTGCAATTGGTGGGTTGAAGTCGGTATCTGGTGTCGAATCTCAGAAAAGTAAGTTGATTGCCACTGAAACATCTGGAGATGCTTGTTTGAAAACTGAAAATAGGGCTACTCAAGAAAGTCCGCATAAGAACGAAAGAAGAAGTGAAAGTCTCGTCTGGTCTAATGAAGAAGCAAGACAAGAAAATGGTGGCTCGGGTAATGAGTCTAATGAGGCTGAGTCTAGTGACGGTGTTGGTGGTCAAGATGAGCCATCGGCATTGCATAGTACAGGCTGTGAACCGTCAGCTAAAGGTGTTAGTTCTAAGAAAAGAAGAAGGAGCATACAGGTAAAACAATGTTTATCGATTCTTTCCCTGATCCACTATTTGCTTTTCGTTCATTCTCAGTTTTGACTGTTAAGTTTACGATAGGATGTTGAGACTGATCAAGCTAAGGGAAGCCAATCACCTGTCGATGCCGCAAAGGATGGTGCTGAAAATCAACAGAAAGGAGACCGGGACCAATCTACAGTGATGAATAAGACTACAACGAAACATGGAAAACAAGGGTCTCAAGCTTCTGATCCACCAAAAGAAGAATACATCCATGTCAGAGCTCGAAGAGGCCAGGCAACAAACAGCCACAGTCTTGCAGAAAGGGTAAACTTTACATGGAACACTTACTAAAGTTTAGTAATATTGAGATCATCCGATCGGAGCTAAAATCGGTTATAACTTCAGGTAAGAAGAGAAAAGATCAGTGAAAGGATGAAATTTCTGCAGGACCTTGTACCCGGTTGCAGTAAGGTATGCTTCTTGGATGGTATAGCTTAACGAATACAGTCAAATTAACTTGGCTGCGGACGAAACGGCTAGTTTAGTTCAGTTTGTAAGGCTTTATGGGTTCTTGCAGGTTACAGGCAAGGCAGTGATGCTAGATGAAATCATTAACTATGTGCAGTCACTTCAGAGGCAAGTTGAGGTATTGGATCCGAATTCTTAACAGTTACCTGTGAATACTGTATAGGTATAACCATATGCTATCTTTCACAATCTCTAATGTGTCACTTTATTTTCTTCTTTTTGCAGTTTCTATCAATGAAACTTGCGACAGTGAACCCACGGCTTGATTGTAATATAGAAGGGCTTCTTGAAAAAGATGTAAGCTGATTTGTGTAGATTTAGCAATTACTCGTGTCTATATGTATCTCTTCTAATCCATTAAAATACAGATTTTTAAGTCACGGGCTGGTCCATCAGCTTTGGGGTTCTCTCCGGACTTGTCTGTGTGTTATACTCTGTTACATCCGTCTCAGCCTGGACTTGTTCCGGGTGGCCTTCCTGTCATGGGGAATAATGCTGATTTTATGCGTAGAACGCTCGGTTCCCACTTCACGCCAATGGCAGGAGGATTCAAGGAACCTAATCAGGTTTAATTTTTCTTCATTTTTCTTATAGTTAACGCTTTATGTATGCTTTAGTGCATGATGCGAATGACAAAATGTTTTGTCTTCTTAACTTCGTGAATGTATGAGGATTACAAATTTACTTTAGTGTCTATCCATTTTGATTCTAGCTATCAAATGCATGGGAGGATGAGCTCCACAGTGCCGTCCAAATGAACTACGGAGCCGGGGCTCCTTCCAACAGCCAAGAAGTGAATGGTATTCCTCTCTTTATTTAACACACCCCGAAGCCTGTGTCCTAGGTTGAATATTCTTCGACCCCGGCTATAATTTATCTATTTCTTTTGCAGGGTCTCAACCATCAGGCCATGCGGAAGTAGAACTTTGATCCTAAGGGTTTACAGCTCCATTCCGGTCAAGCTCACATTTATAACACATTCTTGAAGGTAGCCAAGGACATGCAATTTGAATATGATATCAACATACCCTGTACTTATTGAATAACTGAAGATGCCATTGGCCCGGTTTTATAGCCGGGAATATCAGTCACGTTCAATCGAAACAGGTGCATCGTGCTTTGTTAAATGTTTGTATAGATTGATGATATGATTTTATGTGTGTGTGATGTAGGAGTTATGTTTTATCTAGTAATCTTAGATGGTGTCTTGCTGTAATTTACAGATAACAGTGAGATGTATTTTGTTCAGTTCAGAGATGTAAGTTGCAATATTTTTTAATTATACTTTAATGCCATATAATGTTCTTCAATCTTCTTAATTTCATCTTACACACCAAATTTCATTGACTCGACCAAATGAATTCAATTTAAACACAAAACAAGTTCTGATTTTCTTCTTTTACATGGAGTAATAACTAGAGCTGCTTGTCATCCTGTTTACGCGTCTTAAAATGTTCTCGGCGATCTGCCTCGTATTGCCATTCTCATGGTGAAAAGCACTAACCAACGAGGCAGGCAGCGACCTATCCAGTGAGATGTCTGAAGCTGACTTATTTCCACCTTTCACTAGGAACTTTTCAATCATCCAAAAAGATTTCTGCCATAAGCCCTCTTCTCTGTGCTCTTTCACTGCATTCAAGATATGCTGGATGGCATTCAATTCATTCAACAGGCTCACACTCTTGTCAACGTCGATATTCTCGTCCAACAAAGTACATATAGTTGCCATTGAAGCTTCAACTACCTCACTGTTCTCATGATCCAGGCATGCCAACAACCTTTCGACCGCCTTCGTATCGATCAAACAAAATGTGGTTTCTGAAGAATAAACACCTCTATGAACTGGACATAGTAATGGTATCCCTATCCTTTTTGATGAACTGGAAGATAGAAGTTTCGGCAGGTGGAACAGTTTCGTAGGCTTGGTTTTCTTAATTGTCGGTAGCTGAGATAGATTTATCGACTCTAACAACAGATTCTCCAGTCCGATGGCTGATAATTTTTGAACTTCATCACTAGATGTCCTCGTGAGCAGTTCGGTGAACACCGATGTGAATCTGTGAGCTTTTGCCAGAGACAATATCTGTGGTTCATACAGTGTAGTTGTGAATCTAACAATAATCCCAACTAGGCCCTCTAAGTAAACGGTTGCATGCCTGCTAGTTCTTATTCCACTTCTTTGGATTATATTGATTTTCTGAAGGATTATGGGGACAACATACTTGTGCAGAAGAGCAAGGTTGAGTGTTAGATTCTGCTGGGGGAGTTTTGCCAGGAATTTTGCTGAAACCACCTGCTTCTCGGTAATGTGCTTTGTTTCCGTAGGGCTCTCGATTAAACTCTCAGGCAGCCCCCTGGTTTTGCAGAGTCTCTCTGCTAGTGTGTTACCTATGTGCGGTGAAAGGGTAATGAGTAGCTTGATTGCTGCAACCCCGATTTGTTCGTGTGGGTAATTGATGAATTCGATGAGGTGTAGCTTGCTTCAGGCTCATTCAGAGCCGAGAAAATCGTTGCCATCGACTTGGATGACTTTGTCAGGCATAAGAGAATCCTGATGAGACTGATGTTGAGCTCATGAGCACTAGAGTTCTTAAGCATGCTGATAATGCTATAGACGACATAATCCGAACTTATCCTGTGGCCATGGGGATTTACTTGGATGCTGTCATGCTCGACACCTGATTCCAGAATATTAGCAAGAATCGCTGCACCTTCTTTCTTCGAGTCCATAGGTTCATCGTATATCCTACGAGTGAACATCTCTTCAGCCATAATTTGGATGATACCGGCTTCTACAAGTATCCTTCCATTCAAATGGTGAGATGAGATTTGTGCCAAAGCTTTGAATGCTGCCTGTCTGACGATGGAGTTTCCACTTTGCACCATTTTAATGAGACTAGGAGCAGTCCTCTCAGCCACATGTTTTGCTGTCATTACCAAGAATGACTTCCCCTAAGTAGCTTGCCATTTCCATCTGCACCTCCTTGGGCCCTGCTTATTTACACATCAGCACATTTCTCTTAAATTTATCATTTGGAACTTGGAAGTGTCAATCATAAAGGAAGTTAGATTACCTTCTGTTAGATGATTCATAAGAGGTTCCAAGAACCCAAACTCGGCCATCCGCTTTATGTTATCTCGAACTTGCTCTAGGTTCTTTAAAATTCCATCTGCTGTTTGGGAAGCAAAAGAATCAACCTGATGGTTGTACTTGATTCTGATCAGAATCAAAATTGCTCCGGTTTCCAATCCGGCTTTTTCACCTAAAGCTCGACATCTTGAAAGCTCAAGTAAGAAAAGCAATGATGCATAAAGAACTGGCTGGTGGCTACTTGATAACAACTCAACTAGTGTTGACATATCCACTGTATCAGCAATCTTTTCCTGAACAAAACATAAAGAAAATGGTGCAATAGTTGAGCATCATGTTCTTTCGTGTTTTGTTTTAGATGAAATATCTGGCAATAGTAAGAATGCAAACCTTTCCTTCGTCGTCGTCCTCGGCCAGTTGTCGTAATAGGTCCAGAGTTTCACATCTGACATCTCTATCTTTGTATCCGAGTAACTTATTAAGCAATGGCAATATTCCAGCAGTAAGTACTTGTACCTTACTGTATTGTTTCCTTTGGCATATATGATACAGATCCCGTATTGCCTCTAGTATCATACTATCCGAACTAGCCAAAGCTAATGCGGCTCGAGCAACCTTGATCCTCGCAACTTCGTTCCAATCCTTCCATTGCTCTATCGTGGTCTTTAAAGCAACATTGGTGCTTAAAACCCTGTTTGTGAGCTTCATCCCTGTGGATGAACATGTTATATCCTCTAGATGACTGAAAGTTTCGAACCACTCCAATATCGCCTTCCTCTCGTAGGTCACTCCACTCTCAGTGGTTACTGGATCATCCATAATCTGCTTAGTTAATGGACAGAAGAAAGCGTCGTACATAGGTTCCATATAATGAGCTACCTTTGGCAACGTTGTCAAGGATTTGTTTATAATCTCATACTGTCCTCTCGGACTTGAAATTTTAAGGAAATCATTTGAGCACGGCATGTTCAAAGGTCGAGAACTTTCGGTGCAGGTGGAGACTTCGACATCAACAGAGTAAAGATCCGATTCCATTGGCATTTGTTGAGACATTTGAGAACTTTCTATTCCCATTTTTGATTTCTTAGGATGTTTTGTAGCAGAATACGTCTTCGGTTCATAATTCTTGATGCTGCTCAACTCGTAAATGGACATTCTGCATTTCCTCTGAAAGAGACCAGACAATTGGCATTTGTTGTGGCATTTGAGAACTTTCTATTGCCATTTTTTATTTCTTAAGTTGTTCTGTTCCAAAAGTCATCTTCGGTTCGAGCCCTTCCATTCATAATTCTCGAGGATGCTTAAGTTCGAAACAGACATTCTGCATTTCCTCCGAAAGAGAGCGGACTGCGGTTTCCGCATATTCCTCGCCTCCGAATGTTGCAGACGGTATCAAGCACAAACATTCACCTATGTCTTTTATCACCACTTCTAGCTTGGCTATGATACTTCCCGGTTGGTTCTCTTTATGGCATTCTCCCACAATATCTTTTGCCCGATTGACATTCTGGGAAATAGATTGTAGAATCTCCCTCACATTTTTCGGGCTGTTTTCAGTACACTTCAACTCCATTATCGCCGTAAAAACTCATAAAGGTAACTTCCCACTTCAATAAAGTTTTCCTGCTCTACGTCTATACATTCTACTGATTCCACGACTGCTGAAATATCTGCCAACAAGGATTCAAAAAGACTGGCAAAGGCAGTGTCGTCTTTCTGGAAAATGAAAAAAAAGATCGAAATCGAGATGCTAGTACTTTCTGTTTCTTGCAATTCAGAAAAACAAGGCCAATATGAACATTCCAGGATACAGTCAAGCATTGTTTATGACCTAGTCCATGGTTGCACTTCACCAATCTATACATGTTTCGACGACGATGAGGCTAGCCTATCTTATCCGGACTCGAGTATCGAATACAGTAGGTGTTCTATGTTAACCATACTTGAATTTTCTCAAGTTCTTTCATACATTCTTAAGACTATATATCAACAAATGCATCTAATATAAAAGAATGGAAGAGTAGTACAGAGAGATGAAGATTTTATAAAGCTCGTACCGACATCGTTGAATCGGAGTTGAAACCCTCCGAGGATTCTCCTGGTATTCAAAAAAGTTGTAGAATTTCAAAAGACTTGAGTTGAGGATACCAAGATGTTTCAAGAAATAATAGTAGGTCATTGAATCAGTCTCTTGTCCATGGTAGTTCAGCATCCTGTTCACTTTCATCATACTGAAAGTGGCCAATTTTAATTTCCTGATAACAAAAGTCAAAAACACTATTAATTATAATATACAAATTGTGTATGTATGGATATGTACTGACATGCAAATACATACATGAATATGAGATAAAAAAAAAGTTGTTTGACAAAGGGTTATTGTATAATATTAATAATTCTAAATTCATCTCTTTTAGGTATTTCACTTTTAGCTTATTGTTTATATATTGACCTATTGGAGTTGCTAACTTGTGATTTTGGGGAAAATGAAACATTGGTTGATTTAATTAAAGATGTTAGTCCACTTGTTCAGATGATGAGACTTTGGCATTTGACTTTCAATATATATTATATGAGAGTAAATTACATACTATGTTTTATTCATATTAAAATAAAAGATTGGTGGTATTTAGATTGTTACATCTATGCTTTTTGTACCATATTGGATTATACTACATGTGTATACATATGGTGTGATTTAGGTAATTTTTTTTCATCTTGTCCAAGAGTTGGAACAATGAAAAGTCTGATTGAATTAATCAGGTCATGTAAGAACAAGATTTCAATTTATCAGTCTATTAGGATGTCTCAATTACGTATATCACCAGCATACAATTAGAATTTCACCTAGCAAATCGTGCTACTTTAGATGTCGAATCGAACACTTAAATTAATTTGCAAAACAATTTTGCGAGCACTTAAACTCATCAAAGCAACAAATACGTCTTCCATGCTTAATAATGTGGATGTATAACACCAAGGGCTACTGAAGTCATCAAGAGAGGCAACGAAAGCAAAGAGACGAAAAAGAATATAGATTAAATGCTTCTATTACTCAAAAGTGAAGAATGAATGAAATACAAGTAAAAACATTCACTCAATTCTCTTGTTTTTTTTTTTCCAGTGTCCGTCATTCTCTTGCTTTGTGTTTTTGCTTCGGCATCGAGCTAAGCATTCTTGCTTGGATTTTTAGGCTGACTTAGTCACCCACATCGGCTGAGAAACGTCAAAGGCTGCACGATTCAGCTAAGGAGATTCTAATCTAACCCTTTGACGTGACCTTTTTTAGAATTCTCAAAACTTGTATCACTTTATCCTTGCAGGGACAAAAAACCCCTTGTCGTCTCGACTGTGTCGCCGGAGGCTCTAAGGAAGTCGGAAGAGTTGGCTACAGTGGGCCTGAGACTGAGGAAGTAGTCACCTACAATGGGCGAAGTGTTGGATCAGTTGGGTTTTGTACTTTGTATTGTATCCACCTGGATTTCTAGTTTTTGGGTTCAAGGATGGATGATACAGCATAGTTAGCCCTACTATCACATGCTATGGACGTTGGGGGCAAAAAAAGTCACTACAAACAAGATTTAAGTAATTGTCTTATGTTTTCGATGCATACGAACCTTAATGTTTATCGAGAAAACGAATAAATAGTAATGCATTTTTCTCCCTATATTTTCATCTCTGTGCTCAGTTTCCTTCCTTCAACGTCTAACTGTATTATTTCTTCTTCTCCAAATACGGTTTCGTACAATATTTTGTGGTGGGCATGTGGCGGAACATGCTATCCCACATATTTCAAGGTGCGTGTGGAACTATGTTGCCGGTGGTTGCTGGCGGGTTTAGACCCACTGAATCGTTCAAATGGTGCTGGAAAATGCACTTCAGCTAACCCATTTCTACACTGCTTTTCAAGCATGGGCATCAAGTAAGAGGACCAAGGTTTCACAATTCTTACCTCTCGTTTCTCCACTTAGTTTAGGTATTAAAAGTACATTGTTAGGCCGATATAGTTGATTGAATTTACGTGATTTATCATTGCATTCAACACTCGTTATATATATCGAAAACAGTTAAAACGACTGGAAATTGTTTAAAAAGAATTCAAGTTATGGGGATGGGGGAATAGTAGCCAACTCATTTGGGAAATCAAGATCGAAACCATACGAGCGGCAAACAAAAACAAAAACCCTAATATTTCTCGTTGAATGCATGGCGGTAGACAGGCGCAGAACACACGTACCTTGCATTCTACGTTATCTAACGCACCACCTCTAAGACTATGCAGCTTCATGGACCACTCTTTCAAATCCCCTGGTTCGTCTTGGACCTTGAAACAAGTACTTCAATTTACTACAAATTCTAAAAGCATTGAGATCCCCATCTACTTTTCAACTTCAGTCTCGTTGACACAAGTGGGATGATATATCTGGAAGGTCCAAATAATGTATATATATATATATATATATATTGGGAACCATAGTCCTAAGCTAAGAGCTTTGACTTGGGTTTTTGTTACATAGGTGCTAAAATCTGTATTTGACCTAATTTCACCTTTAAAACCCTAAATTTGCATCTGGTTTTTCATTTCCAGAAAGAAAAATGGCTGCTGAGAGGGTCATAACATTCCTCTTCATTTTAGTTCTAGTAGCTGCATTGATCTCCTTTGCGCAAGCCAATCAAGGTAACATAACACAATATCAATTTCTTTTTTTTATCTGAGCATTTAATGCTTGTTGCTTACCCCATAGTTATAGGGTTTCTAAAGTTGATGAGCTTGATTTTGTTTTTATTGTTCCCAGGTTCAAACCATAAGACAGCTCCAACTGGAAAGGTAATATAAACTGATAACAATTAACATTTGATCTAGTTTTAACTATTTAATGTTACTTATATCTGAAAAAAAAAATGGGTTTGAGCAGGAACTAGTGAATGGCGCTGATGAACTTGCTGCAAACGAGAATTGGGTAATTGGAGGGAGAAAATTAATGGTGCAAACGAAGAAGGTGAAGATGAGTGGTGGTGTCGGACTTGGAGGGTCGACCGCTATTGTTAACTTGTCTGATGAGGTCGATGGTCATCAGTCAAGTTTCGAGACCTTGAATGCTGATTATCATGCACCAAGGCATCCTCCTCCTAAGAATAACTAATTAGGCAATATATAAATAGTAGTTTTCTTCAATAAAGAATATTAAAATTAAGAATAGTTTTGATATCAGGAATGTTTTGTTAAAATACAGTTCTGGTCTTTCCTTATATATATCCATGAATGTTAAACATATTAAATGTAATTAGGATGTTCTTTTTTCTTAAATATGGGATGCACTTTTAGTCCATGAATTTGCTAATATTGTTCAACATCGTTCCTGAATTTTTTTTATTCATGATACTAATCAATGAAATCTACCTATTTCATATTTTTTTCTCCATATCTTTAATTCTCAAAATTATTTTTAAAGTACAACTTATTCTACGTTTAAATGAAGATTCATCCATAAAAATATAATGACATAGAGAGAAGGGTGAAGTGAGTGATTTTCATCAACTATGATTATAAATTATGTGATGAGACAAATTCATATAATAATGTTTTCATCAAAAGAAAATATGGTTAAATATTTAGGGGCTAAGTTTTAAAAGTTGCCAAGTTTAAGGATTAAAATTTGTTGATGTATAAGAATTTTAAAATTCTAAATTTTAAACTAGAGATATTAAACTCTAACATCTAAATTTAAAATCCCAAATCTATAATATAAGCCTAAAGTATTATCTCTAAATTTTTTAATAATTCAAATAAATATTAAATTAACAGGACTTTGATTTTTATTGATATGGACAACCAATTATAGGTTCTCCCGACAACCATGTGTTTTCTGATCATTCAAAGAAAACACCACATACCGACGTTTTTCAATTCTCTTGCACAAACCAGAAGAATCCATGATGAACAAAGAAAAAATTCATCTCAAAAGCAATATTATTTATCAATCAAGGTCCATGAGGAGATGATTCAAGTGAAAGAAGAACAAAATCCAAAGGGATTAAAGAAGAAATAAAACCAAATACTACTCGGCTCACCACCTTAGCTTAAAAGAAGCCTTTATATTTATATCAGTTCTTCATACAACATTCCCAGAATCTGTCCTGACGAATCCTTCATCCTAAAACCACGGTAGCAACATACGGATATCTCGATGTCAAAACTGGCATGAAGTACCGAGCCTCTGTATCTGCTTCTGAGCTAAAGTGACGGATTTTCGTTTATTGAATGCCGGGTGGAGCAACTCTTGGAACTTCTCCAAGAAAAAGGCCCATTCCTCCTCATTCATGTCGGCTAGCGTCACGAAGCTCGCACTTCCTGGAAGCTGTTCATTTGCACTCCTGTCGCCAGGCAAGTTAGTGAAATAACCATTTTCTTGTCTTGTTCCAGAGGGTTTTGAATACTTCTGGCTCTTGTCAACTAAGCTGGTATTTTTGAATGACATTGAAAGCTTTGAAATGGATGGGATCGTCTCGACGGCTTTGAAAGTGGAGGAACACTGATGCTCTGCTTCCTCTTCACTTTCCTCCTAATCTTCCTCAAAGCATTCATCTAGCCTTGAAAGTGGGAAATGGTTATTCACAAATCCATTTCCCAAATGGAATGGTGCTCTTGTCATGAAATCATCTGTACCTATTTTCGGGTTCAAGTCTAATTCCAGGTCCTCAAAGTCAATATCAAATTGGAATTCAGGATCTCGCACATTGGACTTGGGAGATGACAGTTCCCTCTCTGCAATCAACCTCCTTGCCTCAAGACAAACTTCTAGCTCACTAGGTTCCTCCTCTCCAGCCCGGAATTCTCGACTCATCATTTCACCAATCTCAGCAAGACAGAGACCAAGAGCTGCAGCTTCCTTAAGGAAAATTGTGCACAGTACCAGAACACGTAAGCAAGCCTCCCGTAATCATGGGGAGTTCCCTACGCAGCATCTTGCAATCCTTAATAGGATCAAGGTTTTGTATATACTCAAGTTCATCCTCAGAGAAAGGAATCGAGGCCTGAGGCCAGTGAATCCACTCAAAATACGGATCCTCCAAAGTTTCAGGCAAGCAAAGACCATGATCAATAGGAATGATTTCCATTTGACCAAACTTTCCAATGCCATCAAGCTTTCGCACTAAAATGTTTCCTGCTGTCCGTTTTAAATATCCTTATATCGAGTATCCCTATGCAGTGCACAGAAGAAACAGGGAAGCTTGATGTTCCAAGATCACTAGCATCAAAATCATGCTGAACAAACTGTTGGAATGACGCAATTTTGCTAACCAGACTCTTCTTGTGAGGCCTATTTTCGTTCACACCATCATTGAGGTTGAAGACCGAGTGCGTAATCTTCACCAGCGCTGTTGGTGGTACATTGGAAAAATGATAATAGTCGAGAAGGTAAGCCACAACTTCTCTGACACCTGACTCTCCTACACGAACTGAGCGTTTCAAACCTGGTTGACCAAGAGCTTTCCCAACAAAGCCTTTTGGATTGTTTGGTGCAAAAGGTTCTTCATCCGTCGGTTTCACAATCGCGACACTCTCACCTCTAGGGTTCCTAAAGTAGTAGGCACCTCCCAGACCACTATGAACCGGAAGCAGATCAACACCCATCTTAATTGCCTTAAAAATCTCCTTCACCACAACTTTTAATATATTAAAGCTATCATAATGTCCCAGTATCTCGATAGGACCGCTTATATCTCTCTGCTGAAGATCCTTTCCAATAGGCGAAAGACAGGGAGTAGAGGAGCTTCTGTGTAGACAGTTCCTTGTTAGGAGAAGCGGAGTATCATTCCGAACGGCACTAAGATCGTTTTTCAACTCCATATCCCCGAAAATCAGTGAGCTTTGCTCAATAGGGAAATTAAGTGCAACTTGCAACCTTCTTTTAACAGTATGAGCACTGTCACTGCGATCCAACTCCATACCCAACACACAAGCTTTCTCTGTTTGCACAAAAACCCGTCTCCTCCAACAGGATGTTTACCTTCCACTCCATTCTTCTGAGGATATTCCCCTCTAAGAGGACTTCTAAACACTGCCAATGCCATCTGTGTTCTCCGAGACATAAATCGTCCAGAAAAACCAATTACAGGTTCAGTGGCAGCCTGAGGCGGATGTGATTATGGGAGTGAGATTCGTCTCCCCTTCCAAGAAGACCCCAAACTGGGAATCCAATAGCAAATGAACAAGAAGAAATTCCAAATTCACCAAAAATCATCAATCAACAAAACCAAAACCTAAAATTAGAAAAAATATAATCCAAGTGACAGAACCAGCAGACCGAAGTGAAGATCTATCCTTCTTCTACATCAAATAAGCCATCTTTAGGTGGAAATCCCCCCAAAAAACCTGCAAAAAACACAAGAATAAAGATTTGAATAGAAAAACCCTGAATTTGATTTAATTCATAACCGAATTACTATCAATATATATATCATATATCACGTAAATTGTTAGAACGTAGACAAATTAGTGTAAAACTAGCTATGTAAAGTAGCAGTTACCAAAATTAATGCATTCATGACGTCCAGAAAAACATAGTTAAATTAATTCAATTCTTCAATATTCAAGGAATCTAAATAAGATGCTAATATGGATATTAGCTTAAAAAGCATTCAGATTAGCAACTGAACCAAGGAAATTTATGGTTTTCAATTAATTGAACAAATATACATAAAACAATAAGAACTCTCTAGACATTGAATCTTTCAAAGTTCCATTTTACAATAAAACCCTGACATTCAAGCTCTAAAAACACCCAGAAAAGAAAAAGAAAATTAGCTTACCAGTTGTTAAGAAAAAAATTGAAAGAAGAAAAAATCCAGAAAGTGATTTTTAGAATCGGAATAAATGTGACGAATAAGGAGAAGCAATAAGGGCGAGTGCAAAACGAGGGAAAGACTCGACCGAGTAACTCGGTTGTCAAAATCAGAGGAAAACTTCCTTCTCTCTTTAAGTCTCTATCCTTCAACGTGTGAATCCTTTTATCTTGAATTAGTGTCTATATAAATATAGATGTATAAAATTTATTAGTTTTAACGAAAAATATAATAAAGTCACGAAATTTATATATATTTAGATTATGTAAGATTAATGAGTTTTATATAAAAATATATAAATTAAAATAGTGGTATGGCGGCTGACCAAGTGCTTTGCATTGTATGGAATTCAAGGAGATATAGCCACGACAGGGCGAGACAGATTCATCCAAGGAACAGCAAGTTGTCGTTGAAAGAGAATCAGACAAATGGATTCGATTGATTCAAAAACATAAAAGATAATGTTGTCAGTGAATATTATTTCCTGTTGGCGTTTGCACACGGATTCCTTACTCCCTTGTGTGCGCTTACCAAAATTTCGCATAATTTTTCTTGAATTGAATGAATGATGTTGTTTTGCAGGTGATAGTGCATGTCCAGTATTTACAGGAAAAAGGTACTATTTTGGTATCAAGTTTAACATATATAGGTTCAAGCAAATGGTGGCAAACATTCATAAGGATTAGAATAGAAATAATCTTCTTGTCTGGGATGATCCGGATTCTCGGTCCTCCTTGCCGGTTTCCCTCTCCGATCTTCATGAGTTTTATTCACTAAAAAAGAAAACTCATCCCACGTCAATGTCCCATTCTTGTATTCATCAATTAGACCAGACAAAAGTTTCCTGTCTGGTGAAATTGTTGGCTTATATCCCATGTATCTGCAAAATAGGATGAACCAAAACAGAAATTGCAGCACTTGGAAAACCAGACATATCTTCAGCCACAAGAAAGGGTTATAAGTAAATACCGGCGATGGCCTTCGACAGCATTTACCATGTTTCCGACAAAATTCGGAACGAAAATATCACTTTTGATTGCGATGATATAATCCAATGCAGCCATCTGGTCTGTGTGTCCCAAGAATGGTTCGAGCTCTTCCGGTTTTAATATGGTCTGTTTGGTAAACAGATTAGGATAAGCTGCTGCCAGATCTGCCATTCTCTTCTCTTTATTGTATATTTCTCCAGCTGCAATGTAAATTGTGGTGTTGTTATCAATGCTTAGTGCCTGCAATACTAGAGCCGTTTCCTCTGGAGTTAAAGGGCACGATCCAATTTCTCGTTTCTTCTTCGAATCGATCGGTTTATGCCTCCATCCATCATGAGAATATCTGAATACTAACATACTTGGATCAAAATATTGCAGTTACATGGTCAATTGCAATGGATAGTACTTTGTACTTACCTCATCTGTTTCATCTCTGCAGCCTCTTTGTCCGTTAAGCCTTCGTTGCAACCGGTGAATGCCAATACATCCTTATCGTACCTGAGATGAAGAGCCAAGAAAGGACCCTTTTGTCTCAAGAAATCGACAATCTTCCTACCGGTTTCCTCGATCGGTGGAGTAAATCGCAACGCCTCGTAGTTCACTCGACAACGCAACCTCTGCAGCTCTTTAGGCAACCCATTGTTAGCAAGCCTAGCATCAGTTTGAGCAAGCAACAAAGTCTCGCGCTTCTGTACTCGAGGAAGGACCTGTAAAACAGATTTTGCATCAAATAAAGTTCATTCAAAGCACGAACCTTGATGAACATGTCGGGAAATCGGAACCAAACCCTTTGATGATAATATTCTAAGCTAGCAAAACTCATAGGAAACATGTAATAAAGTGGTTCTGATTCTAGTTTTCTCTTCTGTTCTTGAGGCAACTCTTTCAAAATTGTAACCTCGTCTCTCAGAGATGTAATGAAATGGTTGACATCGAAAACATCTGCGAATTCACTGCCATTATGCAAATCGATCACGAGTTTAGACAACGAGAAAGGACGATGAAGGAGAGCTTGTTAATAGTTGAATTGTCTTTCTTTTACCTGGTATCATTCCAGTATGCACCATGAGCAAATTTAGGAACAATAAGTGTGACATTCAAATATCTTGCAATGGCAACCATATCAGAAATCTGAGGGAAGAAAGACCACGTTAAAGGGGTAGCTAAATTTACTATTATGAACCCTAAACAATGTTCTATTTACTCACCCCAAGTCGCTTTTGATTCAATCCTCCATTAGGTGAAATAATTAGATATCCATTGCTTTTATAAACCCCTGAAAGTGAACATTTGGAACCATCATTTTATTGTATTTCGAATCGACAATCAAAACATATTCGAATTTGACATGAAAAGATGAAGAACAGGTAGAACTCACTTTGAGGTGGGAAGGAATATGGGAAATAAAATGCAGATTTTGGCACCATGATTCCATCATCAAGAGTTGCCGACTGCATGGTGCAGAACCAAAGAATGACTAGCATGGTTGAGATCACAAATACCCAGAACTTGATACAAGCCAATGAAGATGGTTGCTTTGCTGCTACAGTCTTCATCTTTTCAGCTCTAGTCCCTCCTCCTATGGCGGTCTCCATGCCTACAAAGAAAGAAAAAAAACTTCTTATAACATAACAATAAAACTATATATATATATATATATATATATATATATATATATATATATATATATATGTATATATGTGCGTGTGTTTGTGAAGTGTAAAAGAATTGATCAGCGAAACATGGGACACATGTTGTGGAAGAGAGTTACATTTCAATTTTCAGTCACTTTGGAATGTGATGTTGAAAAGTTGTCTCGACAATTTTATTAAATTTTTGCACCAAAAAAAATAATTTTATTAAAATTCATCATTTTCACCTCTATACACGTGATGATGTTTCAAGAGAATAGACAATAACATAATTTAAAAATATTAGTATTAAAATTATTGTATTTTATATTATATTTAAAAGTATCAAATTTAATTTTTGAGACTTTAGTTTTCTCTTTTTACATGTTGAAAATAAAAATTACTTGTTTTTGTATGTTCTAATTTTAGTAACATGCATGAATCAACATACCTAAATAGTTAAAAGAATTATTGTTCTTTCTAAAGGTAATGAATTTGAGCACAAGTGACAGCAAGGATGTGATTGAACATTCATTGTTAAATGATTTAAAGTATTTTGAACATATATTATTCTATAATCACCTTTAGTTTAATAAAAAATATTTTTTAAATTTAATTATTAATTTTTAAAAAAATATTTTTTCAATCATTCAAACATTATTATTTTTATCGTTGTGATACTATGGTACAAAAACACTTTCTTTTGTATATTTTCATTTATGAAAATATTAAGTAACATTCATTTTTATAAACCTACGAAAAAAATTGAACAAAGATTGATATATATATATATATATATATATGATCTTTGAGATACATACAAATATACATAAACTTTTATCTCAGTCTTTTTATCTTTTATACAAATCAGTGTTTTTAATGTTTATTATTTTAATAGTTTAAATAAGAAATGATCGTATCGAACTTGGTTTATTAAAAAAAGAAAAAAAAATCACAACATTTCTCTTGTAAATATAATTTGATTATACTTGCATGCACATATGCATAATTAATAAACATGAAACAAATGTTGGTGAATGGATGTATGCATATATGAAAATCGAACTGAGACTCAACCAATCTTCACTGACTTTTATCCTCCTCAAAATGATTGTGCCATCTTCCATTTCTTTTAACCCAATGCAAGACACACAACCTGCAAATCATTTCCCTGTTTAGGGATTAATATATATACATATTCATGGTTCAGCTTCTGCATCTGTTTCTTGGAGCTGATCACCAGAAACTTGCGGTTCATCATCAACTCTTGCCAAGCATTCTTCCGGGTTTGTGTAAAAGTGATCTTCCTTGGGCTTATCGGGAACCACCAATCTTTTTTCAGGGTTTCCCATACGGTCAGCATGAGCTTCTTTCATTTCTGATGAGAATTCTTCCCAGCTCATTGATCCAGCTCTGAATAGATCCACTAAGTCGACGATCGCCTTTCTGTCCAACCGAATTGTTTTCTTGAACCCCAAGTAACTGAATAAGATCAAGAAAAGGACCATTAATCTTATATCAAATTAATGACTTGAAATGAAATGAAGATTGGTATATATATATATACACACACATACCGTCTATGGCCTTCCACCACTTTAGTCATGTTGCCTCCATTCATCGGAACAAAAATATCGCTTTCCACCGCCCCATAATAATCCAATGCTGCCATCTGGTTTGAATGGTTCCTGAATGGATCAAGCTCTGATGATGATAGTAATGTTTCCTTCTTCACCTGTATTGCAAAATGCCAAGTAAGATTAACTTAGACAAACGTTTTTTCGACTCGAACTTCTTCGACATTGATATTAGTAGAAGGAGTGATTGCATGAACTAACCGAATCTATTACCTTTTCTTTCCACCATGGATTTACATATCTGTCATCATCACACGATTTAGTTAAGAGTATCGAACCGATAACGCTTCTATCGGTTTAATGTTACCTCATTTTCGTTAATTCGTCGATCTCTTGTTCGTTGAACCTTCATTACAACCAGAGAAAACTATCACATCCATTTCGTATCTGAGATGAAGAACTAAGAAGGGACCTTTTTCTCTCAGGATCCTAACAATATTCTCCACCAAGGCTTGTATGGGAGGTGCAAACCTTATTGCTTCACAGTTCACAAGGCAAAGCAACTTTTGGACCTCTTCCAGGAGTCCATTGTTAGCCAGCCGTGCATCAGTTTTCTGGAAATGCACCACTTCGTGCGTTTGAATTCGAGTGCGCAAACTCAAATCGAGGTCTACTCATCCCAAGGTTATATATATAATTTGTATGGAAGCCTACCACACTATAGTAATATGTCATGTTGGACCAGCTGATTGGTGGAATTGAGAAGACTGATTCAGCAACTTTCTGCGCAGGAGGCAGCTCTTTCAATATCCGAACTTCATCTCTCAGTCATGCAATGAAGTATTCGACGTCAAATATATCTGCAAACTGACTGCAAATTCAAAGAAAAAAATGGAATTTCTTCATCAGAAATGGGATCCATTTAAGCACCAGATGTTCATAGTTTACTCCATTAATGAAAAAGTAAATGAATTTACCTGTAATCATTCCAGAATGATGTGTTATCTAATTCAGGAACTATGAGGGTGACATTTAAGAATTTGGCAACTGTAACCATATCACAGATCTGCAAACAAGATGGTTGTTAATGAAATCAAAACAGCAATAATGAGAAGAAGCAAATTGATTACTTACACCAGATCGCATCTGATTCAATCCTCCATTTGAAGATACCATTAGAAAACCATTGTTCTCATAGACCCCTGGAAATATTTGAAGAACAAATAGCTAGTATTCATAACATATTGATACATGAAATGACAACTAAATTGAACCAACATCAAGCATGATCATACATACATACATGCATGCATATGGATGTTTACGTACTTTCAGGGGGAAGAGGAAAAGAAAAGGTAGATTTAGGTGTCCTTGATGAAGAAACTATTTCTCCAAGTGATCTCAACTGCATGGCGAAAGTCCATAGCAGCAAAATGCTCAAAGCTCGAGTGACCCACAACTTGATTCGAGCCTCTCGGATCCTTGCAAGAACTAAGCTCTTCAGCTTCTCAGCTTGCACCATGCTCATATACAACCTCATCTTGTTTCTGTAGGGTTTCTCCTTCATTTCTCCACTCTTTGTCTCCTCGAAGCTTGCCTCGCAATAACCCATATTCCTCGGCTTTTTTGATTCTACACAACGACAAAAAAAAATAATAATAAATAAAATGGCTATACAAGGCACGAGGATTCTCTCCCTCCCTTTTCTGGATTCATTTAACATAGTTTTATGAGATTGGTCTATTAAGTTAATAAATTGGATTTAAATGAAATGAAAATAATGTTAATTTTTGATATTTTCGGGGTAATGTATTTTTGCAATCCTTCTTTAAAACTAGTTATTATATACATCATTTTCTGAATTTACTAGTTGTATTGATTTTGCACTTAAGTTATTTACAATCAGTATTTATAATATTTCATATATATATATATATAGGTGAAAAAGATATAGGTTAACTTTTCTATGGATACGATAATATCTTTTCATCATTTTAATATGTTTTATTCAGAGAATATATATATATATAGGTAAAAAAAAATTTGACTATTCTAACTCGAATCAATCCTAAATTTATTTTAATGATCTTACAAGATCAAATCATAGCTTGTCAAATTAGAGTTAAATGCTAGTCCGTACATGCGTCTAAATATTACTCTATGTTATTATTACTAATTATCGGTTGGTTTAATATTATGAAATGTTATATCTCTCAAGTAAAATTAGGAGTTTAAATCTTTATATCGTAAATAGAGAAAATTCAATTAGAGGATTATTTTTAAAAATGTTATTTTTATAATAAATCTTTTTAATACGCAATTTAAATTAATCGATCAATAAATTAAATATAAACAATTACACTAAAAATTAATTATTAGTTATTAGTCACTCACTCAAATAATCACAAATAAATACCAATACTTGGATGTTTTTCTGAAAAAATTGCGCAAGTGATCCTAATTTTGAATCTACATTTTTTAAAATATCGGGTGTTTCGATGTATTACTTCGGATTAATCATCTTTAAATTCTTTTTTTTATTGCATTTATAAGTTTCTCATAAATATATATTATACATACATGCAAGCATATCTAAATTACATATGTATACGTAAATATGTGTTTGAGTGGAATTTTCTCAAGTTTGGAGATGTTATTTGACTAAGAACAATATGAGATTCTTTGTACAGAGGCAACTTCTAGCCTCCCCTCCTTCCCCGTCAAATAGGTATCGGAACCTGCTTTTTGTATATAATGCAAAATGTGTTAACAAATAGTAAATCATATAGCTTGTATAAAGTAAACATACAACCATAGTTACTGAACTCCGAGCCATCGGATCATAATTTGAGAACTAGCAACTGCTTGGGCTACCCCCCCCCCCCCCGGTGGTCGTTGTCCCAGCATAGAGGCTGAGTTTCGACATTTACTCCGACATGTTTCCTCTGAGCGTAACACCAAGCCTTTGTTCCTTCAGCATGTCCTTCCCATTTTCAACATCCTGCAAGCAGCCGTATATATGGAATCATATGTTACAATTTATAACCAATTCAAAGCAAGAACCTTGAAATAAACAACAATGAATTAAGGCAACACTTACACATGTTACGAATCGGAGATCAGAGGATGAAACCGGAAGCATTGTTGGGAGTTAGATCAGAGGATGAAAAGATATCGTTACGGTATGTGAAAATCAAAACTCTAAGCCTAGTGAAAATTACATAAGAAATTTGTATAACCTATGGATGGTATAGAACTTTTTTTCTTTTTTTTTTCCCCAGAATTTACAGCAAAGAATGCTGTGCCTCCAACCACAATGCTTCCGATATTGTCTCCGGTCAGCTTTCCCCATTCGAACTGGACTGCTATTCCATTCAGACTGCAATCTGTATGTAGCGGAAAAGTGAGAATAAAAGCTACCGGCTAGTTTTGAATAGGATATAAAAGAAGATAGGGGCTGGAAACAAGTAGTTTTTGTTGCGGAAGACGGTTATCGGATAGAGCAAAATCGCAACTGATAATTTGAGAAAATAAAAATGAAGATAAAGAAGACACAAAATTTACGTGAAAAACCCCCAAATAATATAGGGTAAAAACCATGGGCAATGGTAGAAGAATTTCACTATGAGAAAATAGAAATTACAACCTCTCTCGATCTACCAAGGAGAAAACAATGATAATTCTCTCTTGATAAAAAGGAGAAAACAACTCTCAAGAAACTCTCTAAATTCTCTCTAGTATTGGAAGAAAGCTAGAATGCTTTGGGATGATTTTAAAACTAAATGAGCTATGGTATTTGTAGTTGAAACTTAAGGACTAATCTTATAAATACTCTAAATTACAATGACTAAAATTAATTACCCCAATACTCAATTTCAACAAAAAATTAGGTGCCTAATTTTTTACTTTTACAAAGCACCATTTGGTGCCTAATTTGGTGCCTAACATTATTTGACTTTTAACAATCTCCCACTTGAAGATTTGATTGAAATAATCATATATTCACACCATTCTTTCTACCTTGTACCTTCATGTTGCTTACGTTTCTAACAGGCCACAGGAGGATCGACACCAGGTAAATTTATCAGCATTGATTGCCTTCGTCATGAAATCTGCTATGTTGTCTTTGGTATGGATCTTCTGCATATCTACCGTTCCATCTTCCACTTTTTCACGAATGAAATGGTACTGAACTCGTATGTGTTTTGTCCTTGAATGAAATGCTGGATTCCTTGCTAGATGCAAGGCGCTTTGACTGTCACAGAACAGAGATACATACTCTTGATTGTGCCCAAGCTCCTCCAATAGCATCTTCAACCAAATTGCTTCTTTACTGGCTTGTGTAGCTGCTACATATTCTGCCTCTGTTGTGGATGTAGCCATAACTGACTGCAATTTTGAAACCCAGCTTACAGCTCCACTAGAAACTTTGAACACATATCTTGTAGTAGATTTACTTTTATCCAAATCCCCTGCATAGTCAGAATCTACATACCCATTTAATAGTAAATTTGATCCTCCGTAACATAATGCAACATTTGAGGTCCCTTTAATGTATCTCAGAATCCTCTTTACTGTATTCCAATGCTCTTTGCCTGGATTCGCCATGTACCGACTAACCACTCCCACTACTTTTGCAATGTCTGGTCTTGTGCATATCATAGCGAACATTAAACTTCCCACTGCCGATGCATACGGTACTCGAGACATCTCCATCCTCTCTTCTTTACTGCTAGGACTCATACTAGAGTATAATTTGAAGTTAATAGGAAGAGGGGTAGAAATTGGCTTACAATCTTGCATGCTGAATCGTGACAAGATCTTCTTCAAGTAATTCTTTTGTAAAAGCCAAATCTTCCTATTACTTCTGTCTCGGTGAATTTGCATCCCTAGAATCTTGTTTGCTGATCCCAAGTCCTTCATTTCAAATTCCTTAGCCAGTTGTGCCTTCAATTCATCAATATGATCTTTGTTGGGTCCTGCAACCAACATGTCATCCACATACAACAACAATATAACAAAATCGTTATCACCAGACCTTTTGAAATAAGCACAAGGGTTTGCATTAAGTCTGTTGTATCCAAGGCACATAATGAAGGAACCAAATCTCTTATACCAACACCTCAGCGCTTGCTTTAGACCGTACAGAGATTTGTTCAACCTGCAAACCAAGTTCTTCTTTTCTTTTTCTTCAAAACCTTCAGGCTGGAGCATGTAAATCTCTTCTTCAAGATTTTCATGAAGAAAAGTTGTTTTAACATCTAGTTGCTCTAGATGTAAATTCAATGTAGCACACATTTCCAAGACTACTCGAACTGTTGTTAGTCGAACCACAGGAGAAAAAATTTCATTGAAATCAATACATTTTTTCTGAGCATATCCTTTGACCACCAGTCTTGCACGATACCTCTCCACTTGATCGTCACCATTTCGCTTGATTTTGAAAACCCATTTGTTACCAATTGGCTTCCTTCCTTGTGGTGGTGGCATAAGGTCACATGTATTATTTTTATGAAGGGCTTCAATTTCTTCTTGCATCGCCATCATCCACAGTGAAACATCTGAACTGTTTATTGGCTCCTGGTATGTTGATGGCCCACCGTCCTCTGTTAAAAGGCAATATGCAACATTTCCTTCTATAACATAATCTGAGTGCCAATTGGGACGTCTTCTCACACAATCTGATTGAAGAGTTGTTGGAGCTTCAGAACTCTCTGGTTCTTGTTCATCATCTGCTGGTTCTGCTTCAGAAAAATCTCCTTGTTCAAATTCCTTTTCCATATGTATCTGAGTAGTCTCTGACTTTTTAGCGCAATCATTGTCTTCTTTTCTTTGTAGTTTATCTTCTACAAAGATAACATCCCTGCTAATGATCACTTTGCGGGCAGTGGGATCCCACAAGCGATACCCCTTTACACCATCAGCATACCCCAAGAATTTGCATTTCCTGGATTTTGGATCCAGCTTTGAAATTTCTTGGGAGTTGTACATCACATACACAATACTTCCAAATACATGGAGGTTTGAATAATCAACTGGTTTACCAGTCCACATCTCCATTAGCGTCTTTAGCTCTATTGCAGTTAATGGAGCTCGATTCACCAAATAACAGGCGGTATTGACTACTTCTGCCCAGAATGATTTTTCTAGGCTTGCATCCCTTAACATTGCTCTTGTTCTTTCTAACAATGTTTTGTTCATCCGTTCTGCCACTCGATTTTGTTGAGGAATGTTCGCCACTGTGAACTGTCTTTTGATGCATTCTTTCCTGCAAAAGTCATCAAATTCTTCACTTGTGTATTCTCCTCCATTATTTGTTCTGAAACACTTGATCTTATTTCCAGAATAAGTTCCACCCGCGCTTTGAAGTTTTTGAAAGTTGAAAACACATCTGACTTGTTCTTAATAGGGTATACCCAACATCTCCTAGAGTAGTCATCAATAAATGAGACAAAGTATTTTGCTCCGCCTAGGGATGTAACTGGTGCTTTCCATACGTCAGAGTGAACCAATTCTAGAACACTTTTGCCTCTAGAATTTAACGTGTTGAATTTCAACCGGTGCTGCTTACTTGTTATACAATGCTCACACAAAGGAAGTGATACCTTTGTTAAGCCGGGAAGTAGCTTTTGCTCCACAAGGACTTTCATTCCTTGTTCTGACATGTGTCCAAGTTTCTGATGCCATAGCATTGTAGAATCTGAACTACACGAGGCAACAGAGGCTTCTGCTTCTAGCAAAGTCTCTCTCTTCAGCATGTACAAGTTTGCTGCTATCTTTTCGCCTTTCAGCACCACAAGCACTCCACGGAACACCTTCATGATTCCTTTCTGTGTTTCAATCTTGCTAGCATTATTATCCAACAATCCGTAGGATAATAAATTTTTCTTCAGGCCTTTTACGTGTCGCACATCTCGAACAACTTTAATTGTTCCATCATACATCTTCAATTTGATGGTTCCAACGCCAACGATCTCTAAGGTATGATCATTACAACTATACACAGATCCTCCTGAGACAGGTTCATAATGATGGAACCATTCTCTTCTTGAGGTCATGTGATATGTTGCTCCCGAATCAATGAGCCATATATCTGCAAATCGTTTTCTGCCTTCCACGGTAGTTGTCGCTTCACAGCATAGAGCATCTCCATCATCTGAAGTGTTTGCGGTATTACCTTGTGGATTAGAGTTTTTATTTAAACTCCAACAATCCTTCTTTAAGTGACCATTCTTTCCACAGTTGTAGCACTTTAAATTCTTCTTGCTCATCGACTTCGATCTACCATGTTTGTGACTGTTGCTTTGGCCACGTTCTGTTGATCTCTCTCTCATCGTTGTCAACGCTTCTGCTTGTTGCAGATTTACTTGTCTGTCTTCTTTGTTCTTGCGCCAATTTTCTTCTTGGAGAACAACAGCTGCAACGTCATCGAAGACTAGACTGGTGACATTACTGTTTGTCAAGTTTATGATGAGTTGATCATACGAATCAGGTAGACTTTGAAGTAGAAGTTTAGCACGTTCTTGTTCTCCTATTTTACAGCTTAAAGATGTAAGCTGAGAAAATAAAAGTGTTCAGTGTATTTAAGTGCTCCGTCACTGAAGTAGATTCTGGCATACGGAGAGTGTACAATTTTCTCTTAAGGAAAATTTTATTGTGCAGCGATGTGGCCTCGTACTGTTTGGTGAGATGATTCTATATCTCCTAACCTGTTTTTTTCTCCTCGATGCTTGACAATACTTCATCTGCTAATGCTAGATGAAAGTTTGCCATAGCATTCCCGTCCATTTCGATCAATTTGTTGTCATCTGTGAAATCCACCGGCATTTCACTAATAACTGCTAGACAATCGTCTTTTCTTAGGATGACATTCATCTTCAATTTTCACAATGAGAAATTTCTCCCATTGAATTTTTCAATATCAAATTTCGTTGACATAGCTTCTTTTACGGATAGCTCCCACTATTTCACTATCGTGAATAGTTCTCTGGAACCTTCAAAGAATGGGTAATACCTTCTTACTTTCTTATGTTGGAGGATCCACCTTTTGGTGGCAACCATAAAGACAATAAGCAGATATTATACACTCTAATCTAGCTCTGATACCAATTGTTGCGGAAGACGGCTATCGGATAGAGCAAAATCGCAACTGATAATTTGAGAAAATAAAAATGAAGATAAAGAAGACACAAAATTTACGTGGAAAACCCCTAAATAATATAGGGTAAAAACCACGGGCAATGGTAGAAGAATTTCACTATGAGAAAATAAGAATTACAACCTCTCTCGATCTACCAATGAGAAAACAATGATAATTCTCTCTTGATAAAAAGGAGAAAACAACTCTCAAGAAACTCTCTAAATTCTCTCTAGTATTGGAAGAAAACTAGAATGTTTTGGGATGATTTTGAAACTAAATGAGCTAGGGTATTTATAGTTGAAACTTAAGGACTAATCTTATAAATACCCTAAATTACAATGACTAAAATTAATTATCCCAATACCCAATTTTAACAAAAAATTAGGTGTCTAATTTTTGACTTTGACAAAACACCATTTGGAATCTAATTTGGTGTTTAACATTATTTGACTTTTAGCAGTTTTAACAGTGAATTACGTAGGGAAGGCAAATGAGCGAGTGCTTGTCGTGCTGCTGTTCGATCTATGGGAGAGGTCGCCTGAATGTGCCATCGGTCCTGAGTAACTTCTTAGACCTGTTACAGGCCCTGCAGCAGAGAAACTAGACTCCGTATCCACGTTGAAGATAGCTCGAGAAAGGCTGATAAGCCGTATCTTAGGGATCTCTTCGGGTCTTGAGTGGTTCACGATCATCTTTGCTGGTTATTGGTGCAGCAGAACCAGAGTCAGATGTCATATTTCCAGTTTCCAGTTCGTTATCATTGGATATTTCCTTGAAAAGACTGCTGGTGGTGGATTCCTCTGAAGCAGAGGCCCGAGCAGGACTGATCGGCATAACTTCCCCCTTCTCACTGTCCGTTACTTTGGAAGTAGAGGCCAAAGCGAGGCCAAAGCAGGAGCAGAAAGAATTGCTTCTTCACTTGGATTGTTCGATTCTTCAACCGCAGAAACCACTATGACTTCGTTTTTATTTGTGTTCTTCATAAAAATCAAGATAATGAACATTTCATTGCATATATAGCGAACCAGTGATGTTATTATAAGGAATTTCGATGTAGTAGATTGAAATATTATCAACTTTGAACTAGATAAGCTTACCTCAAAGGACCGTTGTTCGATTCCATTGCTTTCACAATTCATAGACATGGCCTCGGATTTTACCGTAGTCAATTCAGGCAATGAAATGAAAGTATATCTCCTAGGGTAAACAACTCTTTGTAGGCATCATCCGCTATCATTTTCACTTCATACTCCTTCCCTTCCTTTGTCATCATCAAATCCTTAGAATCACATTGCTTCGTAATTCTCTTGTTAGACTCGTTTTCTTTGAGAGATAGGGGAACATCTTGCATACGTGTATCGGTATCCTATTTTTTATTAGAGCCACACTCATCGTTGACATCTTTCCCGGATTGATTTTCTTCCGGAGACGAGGAAACATCTTGCATGGGCATATTGATCTCTGGCCTATCTTTCGTCAGTTTACTATCTTGATCTTTTTTGCATTGCAGAAAGTAGCAATCACTCTTCTCATCCACATCACAGTCAAACAAGAACTTATCTTGTGTCGGAACTGTTGGTTTTTGGCAAAAGTCCCACATTGGTTGTGTATAAGGAGGAGGGGAAATTCTTTTGTTATAAATAAAGCCCTCCTCCTCCTTAGTTAATCATCCCACAAATATAAGCCTTCTTCTATTTTAAAGGCTATTTGTATTCTTTCTCTCTTTGTAATATTTCCTCTATTAGTGAAATATTTTGGTGTTCTCTTTTATGTCTATTTAATAGCTATTGTCGGGTATAGTTGTCAATTATTGTCCTATTAAAATTACTTGTCTTGGTAGTTCTGTCTAAGGAAAGTGGGTTTTAAGAGGGACCATTGTGACCCCTCCTTTTTCCTGGGAATCTACCTTGGGGTGATTTTTAGTACAATCGTTTTCACACTAGTCACCTAGATAATAGTTTTCAAGGTGAATCTGTTATTGGTGGAAATTAACCCGAATTTCACAACAATTGGTATCAGCGCTCTTGGTTTATTTTAGTATGCTCTGTGGTTGCGGCTTAGGCTGATCTTCCACATCAGAAAAATTTCCTTGGGATAATTGACATTCTGCATTGGCAGCTATTAAATAGAATTTGTAGCAGAAATGGCAGACGCTTCTTCATCTTCAATTTTGGCAAGAAATGCTGTGACAAATGTTAGATTTGCAGTGGAGATTTTTGATGGCACCGGTCATTTCGGCATGTGGCAAAGCGAGGTTCTAGATGCCCTATTTCAGCAGGGTCTAGACATTGCTATTGAAGGAGAGAAACCAGATGATTTTGAGGAGAAAGAATGGAAGAGGATCAATAGAATGGCATATGGTACTATTCGATCGTGTCTTTCTAGAGAGCAGAAGTATGCATTTTCTAAGGAAACTTCTGCAAGTAAATTGTGGAAGGCACTGGAGGAGAAATTTTTGAAGAAAAGCGGTCAGAACAAACTCTACATGAAAAAGAGACTATTCCGCTTCAACTATGTACCAGGTACCATTATGAATGATCACATTACTAGCTTTAATCAGCTGGTGACTGATCTGATGAATATGGACGTGACTTTTGAAGACGAAGATCTGGCTCTGATGTTGATGGGATCACTTCCTGATGAGTTATAGTATCTTGAAACTACTCTACTTCATGGGAAGGTTGATGTGTCTCTCAATGAAGTAACTGCTGCCTTGTATAGTTATGAATTGAGAAAGAAAGACAAACAAGAAAACACAAGTGTCGAAGCAGAAGCTCTTGTTGTTAGAGGCCGTTCCAAGAGTCAGAATAAAGGAAGCAGAGGGAGATCGAAGTCAAAGTCCAGATTGAGCAAAGATGAATGTGCCTTTTGTCGAGAAAAAGGGCACTGGAAGAAAGAATGTCCCAGGCTAAAGAATAAAGGCAAACCTGAAAGGGTGAAGGCTGTCTCAGAATCAAATGTGGTCGAGTATGATGATGGAGATTCAGATTTCGTATTCTTTGCTACGCCATCAACCAGCTGTTCCAGTTCATGGCTGTTAGATTCAGCTTGTAGCCACCATATGACCCCCAATAGAGAATGGTTCTTTGATTTTAAAGAACTAAAAGGTGGAATTATCTACACAGCAAATAATTCCCCTCTTGACACACTTGGGATTGGTTCAATTCGCTTGAGGAATCAGGATGGATCAATCAGAACCTTAACAGGTGTCCATTATGTACCAGATTTAATGAGAAATCTCATCTCTGTGGGAACCTTAGAGTCAAAAGGTTTAGAAGTGAGGGCAAAAGATGGGATTATGAGGATTATCTCTGGTGCACTGGTGATAATGAAGGGAATCCGAAAAAGAAACAATGTGTATTACTTTCTGGGTAGTACAATTGTTGGGACAGCAGCAGTGGCAGCTTCTACTGATGAACAGGAGTCAGAAGCAACCAGGTTATGGCATATGCGCTTGGGGCATGTTGGTGAAAAATCCTTGAAATTACTGATAGATCAAGGATTATTGAAGAGTGCTCGGGCTTGCAAATTAGCTTTTTGTGAGCATTGCATCAAAGGGAAGAAGACGAGGGTGAAATTTGGAACAGCAATCCATGATACTAAAGGTATTTTGGATTATGTTCATTCAGATGTATGGGGGCCTTCCAAGACAACTTCATTGGGAGGAACACACTATTATGTCACTTTTGTTGATGATTTTTCCCGGAGAGTTTTGGTGTATCCAAAGAAGACAAAGGATGAGGTGCTAGGATTTTTCCTTAAATGGAAAAAGATGATGGAGACTCAAACAGGCAGAAAAATCAAACGTCTCCGTACAGACAATGGTGGAGAGTACAAAAATGATCCATTTCTGAAAGTCTGTGAAGAGGAAGGTATTGTTAGGCACTTCACTGTCAGAGGTACACCACAACAGAATGAAGTGGCAGAGCGTATGAACCGGACATTAGTGGAGAAGGTTCGGTGTATGTTGTCTAATGCTGGGTTAGGCAAAGAATTTTGGGCTGAGGCTTTGGTCTATGCTTGTCACCTTGTCAACCGCTTACCATCGACTGCTATTGGTGGTAAAACACCATTAGAGAAATGGTTTGGAGTACCTGCTACAGATTATGATTCCATACATGTGTTTGGTTCCACTGCATACTACCATGTTAAGGAGTCAAAGCTGGATCCAAGAGCAAAGAAGGCGATTTTTATGGGGATCACCTCTGGTGTGAAAGGCTATCGTCTTTGGTGTCCAGAAACAAAGAAAATAATCTTCAGCAGGGATGTTACCTTTGATGAATCTACCATGTTGAGAAAGGTGACTTCAGAAAAATTGGAGCAGACAGATGGAACTCCCAAAAAGGTGGAGTTTGAAGGAAGCAAATTTGTCCCAACCAGTAAAGAAAATGATGTTGACTCTCCTATGGTAGAAGAAGAGTCAGATGAAGAAGAGGTTCAGACCCAAGAACCTCCACAGCAACATGAATCAATTGCACTCAGAAAGGGAAAGAGGACCATTAGACAACCTGCTCGTTATGCTGATATGGTCTCTTTTGCATCACCAATTGCAATTGATGACGTTCCTGCCACTTTTAATGAAGCAGTTCAAAGTTCAGAACATAAAAAGTGGAGGATTGCCATGAATGAAGAAATGCAATCCCTTCAAAAGAATCAGACGTGGAAACTAGCTAGTCTTCCGAAGGGAAAGAAGGTAATTGGGTGCAAGTGGGTATATGCAAAGAAAGATGGATTTCCTGACAAGAATAACATCCGCTACAAAGCAAGATTGGTGGCTAAAGGCTACGCTCAAACGGAGGGAGTTGATTATAATGAAGTATTTTCTCCAGTTGTAAAACATTCCTCCATCAGAATTTTGTTGGCTTTGGTAGCGCAGTTGGATTTGGAACTAGTTCAGATGGATGTAAAAACTGCATTTTTACATGGAGACTTGGATGAGGAAATCTACATGACTCAGCCAGATGGATTCAAAGTTGCTGAAAAAGAAGAGATTGTGTGCAAATTAGAAAAATTGTTGTACGGATTGAAGCAATCTCCAAGGCAGTGGTACAAGCGATTTGACAAGTTTATGATAGGGCAGAAGTACACAAGAAGCAAATATGATCATTGTGTGTATTTACGCGAGCTAGAAGACGGATCCTATATATATCTTCTTCTTTATGTTGATGATATGCTGATAGCTTCCAGGAGTCAGACAGAAATTGCGAAACTAAAGACTCAATTGAACAGGGAGTTTGAGATGAAGGATCTTGGTGAAGCGAAGAAGATTCTAGGCATGGAGATATCAAGGGATAAGAAATTGGGGAGGCTTTGTTTGTCTCAGAAAGAATATCTGAGGAAGGTACTAAAACGTTTTGGCATAAATGAGATGTCAAAACCAGTTAGTACACCTCTTGCTCCTCATTTCAAGCTCGGTGCATCCATGTCACCTAAGGATGATGCAGAACGGGAATACATGTCAAAGGTTCCGTATGCAAGTGCTGTTGGTAGCTTTGTCACATCCCAATTTAGGGGCTAAAAGTTTTAGATTTATAAAGTATTATGTTCAAAAGAATTATGGAGAAATTCATGGACTTTAGTTATAATTTTCCTCCCTTGTTTATTATAAATTTAAGAGAATTATAAAATACGTTAGTGCATTATTGTGAAATGATATGAAGTAGTTGGCAAATAATGGTTCAATCATACTGTTATTTTATTAAAGAAATTGAGTACCACTCAATAAGGTAAGAGATATTTGTTTTAAGTGAGGGTAGTTTGGTTTTTATTAAAAAAAACGTTAGAAAGGAAGCTATAACTTATAGACACATCATGAACTTGTAATAATGGCTACATGCACCGCACC